TTATCGTCTGCCGTGTGCATCAGAGTTCTATACGGGATGAGCCGTGACTCTGTGCACTTGTCCTATTTCTCGGGGAAACAGAAGGACCGCGGGGAGGATGGGGATTTGACAGCGCACTGCCCCAAACCCGCTCTAGATAGGTCGGCAATTATCTTCCAAGAGTTTGACCCAAGATGTTACAGAGCTTCCCTGGGGAAGACTTTTTCTCCCCATTCCCCTACCTGCTAGTAGTCCCTGGCCAAAAACTCCCGAGAGCCGAGAAGCTCAGCACATAAAGCCCTATGACACGATTATAGCGTTAGTAGAAAAGCCCAATGTAATCCCATTTGATGCCTTACAAAAGTTCCCACAGATTTGGAAACAAGATTGCGAATACGTGGTCCCAAAGTGTTTCCAGTGAGGGTTATACTGAGGATAAAGGACCCTCAACTTTGTGCCTCTATCTAAGGAGCAGGCAGGCAGCCACGGCCACGTACTATTGTGAGTTCGCTCCACAGCCATGACAGATGTCTGGGGAGATGCTTCCGGGACAGGCGAAGAAGGATGCCGCGGAGAAAAAAGTTCGAGAAGGGCTTGATGAAAACCGAAACAGGAAAAGCCCGGAGGGAATCTTCACCTATCCATCAGCTCGGTGTCAGCCGGCGAGATGATAGAGGGACACTCCAGAGCCAGGTGCAGACACACCGTTAGACCCGAGTGTATCCAAGGTATCACATCACTGAGAACGATGAAACGAGTCCCCCTGACGGAAGCCTCCCCGGTCTCACATCCCCAGAGTGGGGCTGATCAGCCTGGTGGCCCCGTCTGCTTGAAACACAGTCCCAGAGACAATCGACATTTGTTCGTAAGGTCAAGCTGTGGTCGGGCGGCGCCGGGGTAGATCGAGGGCTCCATAGCTCCTTCGATATGACACCTAATAGCCATATTATCATCTCCGGCACCGATAGGAACCGAAATGTAGAGCAGAGGGATTACCTCGAAATACTGACAACTGTTGGAATCCAAACAGCTTCAGGACCTCAGAGAGGGGGATGGATACTGACTGAGCCGAGACAAAAACTCCCGGACTTTGTTTGCCAGTCCTCATGTCAAGCCCCACACACGCACGACAGCTCAGTGGCAATGGGCCAGAATCAGGCACAGGAGGTGGAAGCAGTGATCCGGAGAGATCCTGCCATCTCACCTGTGCTCGTATTCCACATGGCGTGATGACCTCACTTCTAGTGTCACCTTTTTCGGAAAGGGAATGTATGTGAAGCGCAGCACCGGTGATATTCGGTGGTGTTGTGTCGTAATCTCATGAGGAGGATGAGGAGGAAAGAGCTATGGTGGGGAGACAGGAGCTCTGGGTGTTCAGAAGGAGTACTTGTAAAATCGACTAATGCGGAGTGTACTCAGCACTGTATTGTACTGGTATTGTGCCCCCGAGGGAGGTCGGAAAGGCAGTCGTGGCCAGGGCACCGCCGTCTACTGAATCCCACAATCATAAAGCCTTAAGAAAGACAACAATATTAGTTATCACTCAACAACGCGGCGCAGGATCGACACTACAAGACTCCAGTTATGCTACTTGTACCATCGACGTCGAGAATGTACGCTTCTACTGGAGTACAATATGAGTATGGGTTGGAGAATGGGGCATACAAAGTGACACCAGCAAACGCTGAGAATTTTTCTTCCGAGACAACCCCGGTCAAATATGATACTCCTCTGCCGGGTGCCTTCGTGACCCGGATCAAATGTACTCGAGTACTGTGACACCGCAGTACCTACTACCGGGATGAAGTCGTTCTGGCACAGGATACTGGTACTCCCAACCCTGGACAGCAAGTCTGCCAGGAGAGAAGTGAGGCTAGTCTCGCGCAGGAAAGGGGCACCGTACTTGGCATGCGCAGCGTTCTGGCCGCCCAAAGCCCAGACTCAGACGCAGCAACAACTTTGATGCAGGAATACCGTGCCGGTGCAGGCCGTGTTACGGTATTCTTACCATACCGGTATCATACTTGAATAGCAGGCGGTACATGCAGAAGAGAAGTTACTTGAGCACGTACGAATACTCGAGAACAGTACCGGTGAGCGAGCGCGAAGTACAAGTAGGAGGATAACCCAATTTTTTGGTGGGGATCGACTTTTTCAACATGAATGCAGGAGATTCCTCAGGAATACCGCTACAGCGACAAGTCAATTTTTACCAAGACTACCGTAACCCCTCAAAGGCACATCGACATTATTTTTAGATTAGTTTTCCTGCATGCTATACTCAGGCCATGGATCGGGTAATATGCTGCATCATTCCACTCGAGCAATGCATCATATCACACAGAAGAGAAGAAAAAAAAACAATTACCCACAATCGGCCAATTTGAAAGTTGGCCGCCCAGTAAGATGCAAGACCTGACACAAGCACCAAGTGTTAAAGAGAACCGGAACACTAAATTGCAGGGTTTCGGTGGGTGGATTAAGTTGTGGTTGATGGTGCCTGCACTGATACGCACGGACAATCAGCCATCGAGAACGGTAATTGAGCACAGGAGTCGTTGCCTGCCGAGGGTTTTCGAGTATAATACTTCCGAGTCCACACGTACCTTACGATAAAGTACCAAAGTCTGGATTCTACCGGTATTCTATTCTTACGCCAGTAGCATACCAGGACTCAATCTATGGTTATCCCATGGGTTGGAGACACGCGAGAAACAATCGATTCGATCAAAGGAAGTAACTGCAGCACCCGAGTCCTAAAGGCGTTGAATTGACCCTCAACACCGAGCTAATATCGGCACTTGCACACGGGTGGTCCGCCAGCCGAAGGGCAACCATCCACGCAACGAACTGACTGGCTTGTGCCGTGCTATTATCTAACTACCGATATCCAAGCAACAGGAATGGAGGCTTGGTTTGTTTTTTTCCCGAAGAATCGCTGCAATTTCTGAATCCACTGGTATTGGGAATATGGTTCAAATTTCAACAGACAACCAGATGCAAATATGCACCCTGCTGCTTTCAGACCGCGTCATTGTATTTTTTACACAATAGAATTATTCCGTTGCCCCCACTTAGAATAGCATTGTCACTTAAGCCGGCAATGGACTGCATACGAAGAACTAAGCAGGCATCGCTGCATACGAGTGATAGATGGTTCAGAAAAATCTGTATTGTATGCCCATCAAGAACCAGTAAATGGGGGTGTGAAACACACCGCTATCTACTCCGTATCAGTCTTACCGCAGAATCCATAGAGAAGCTTGCTGAAGGGGGGATGTGGCTCCGCAATTGGGGGCTGCCAGGCGTGGGTAATCTTACAGACTCCTAGCACCGAGTGATGACTTCGCTGGCAGTCTCCGGCAGCGGCAGGTTCGGTTGGCATGGCGCTCTCCGTGTTGCTGTGCCATGATTTCCTACAGCTGTTCAGCGACAGGAGGAAGAGAGGGTTTCAACTTTAGAATTCTGGTCTCGGAATTGATCGCGCGCACAAAACCCCGCAAGAACAGGATACCGCGGAAAACTTACTCTCAGGTATCGCACCGCCCATCTTCCCCCCGGTGGTCCAATCACTTTTTTTTTTTCGGAAGACTATTCTCCTTGAAATGTTAAGGCGACTTGCTAAAGACTGCTTGTCATCGAGTTGTACCAATTAATTGCTGATAGGTGTCGTTGTGTTGTGTTTATACCTGATCTTGGCAACAACACAGTCCACGAAGGGTGCTTTTGGGATCAAAAGAGTAAGATATCATGAGACAAAAGCTTCCCCTCCCCAACAAGGCCTGACCCCTATTCTGGAAATCCCGCAAATTCTCATTGACCCTGGGCGAAAAAGAAAAAAAAATTGGTCTGGAGAACACATGAAACCTGTCGTACTTACATTACCCCTCCTGTCTCTACGGTGGTTTGCGGGTAGATATCGCTTCCCTCTAGACGGCGCACCGGCATTGCCACCTCACGAGGAGACAGCCACCGGTTCCTGCAAGAAAAGGCTCCAAATTTTTCTGGAATAAAGTAGCAGGCAAAAATTACACTTTCCTCTATATATAAAGGCCTTGCCTGACGGTTTGTACCTCTGAAGAAACGTGCCAACGTCGTTGGTGTACCGTATTTCTGGGCGTAAGAAATGATTCGTTTGTGGATAGAAGGCCCACGAAAAAAATACACCCGAGAAGCTTCCATGTTCTCATTGACCCTTACCATGATAGCTTAGCCTTCTAGCCATGACGAAATTGAGAAGAAGGAGAGAAGAAGAAGAAAAGGCACTCGCTAATTTACCAACGGTATGGAAGTGAGGTATTCTCCTGAGACGTTGCTAGACAGTAGTACTCGAGCGTACCAGTAAGAAGGACAACTATTATACAAGTGCGACGATCATAAGCCTGGCTTCCGTACCAGTACGTATGGGCCACTACACCTGATTGATGTTGGACAAATCGCACTTGCATCAGCCCCCCGACGTAGAGGAGTGTTTCCCTCCTGCGAGGCACTTACAGAAATGTAGGGCCGGTAGAGCCCCCCCCCGCCGCCGCTGCATAATGACCCATGTTCCCGGTTAGACACCGAGGCTGAGGTGAAGACTCAGGAACAAGTGTGATGGTTCGCAGTATTGACAGCCAGCCGCTAGAAACACCAGGCCCCGACCACGTAGGACATCTGGGAAGCGCATGGTGTGCTGTACTGCGGAAAGTGTGGGCACTGTTGGGACTGGAAGATACGCAAGACAAAAGGCCCCCCATCCGCTGCTAGATTTATTTAGAACACGTTCAGAATTATCTATATCTCGTACCTCATCTGCTCTCCCCCCCCAAAAAGCCCCATCTACCATCGGAAGAACGCCTGATATCGAAACCGAGAGCTCAGGAAGCAAAAACTGAAGCATTGACACGACAATTCCTGTCCCATCCCAATTACATTTACAATCCCAACTCTCAAAGATATAGCCACCCCACACACCCACACCCCACTTCTGTCTTCAAGGCAATTTCCCGTACTATTATCACGATATATCGACAGTCATTATGGCTACGAAGAATTCCACTCCGGCCAATCCTACCGCCGACAACCAGATTACAGAGCTATTCCCTACCATCGAGGATGGAGCGGGCAAAGCAACCGGGGAGCGCGCTCCGGTGCCGACGGGTCCCGGCTCCGCCCCCACCCACCCGGACGGAAGGCAGAAAGGAAAACGATCTCTACCAGACGACAAATGTGAAGAACCCCACAGCGAGCCAGTAGCGCTAGCGGTTTCGTACCAGCTCTGGAGATTTTTGCACGGAGAATCCTCATCCGAGGATTCCTCATTCGGCGAACACTCATGCGGGGAATCCCACCCAAAGAAAAAGCGAAGAATTCTAGATATAACAAGGAAAATTGATTTACTATTCCCGGATGGAGCTGGTAGCCCATCTTCGAGCAGTACTAGTGTCGGTAGTAGAAGTGGTTCCAACGCGGGCATCGGAGGTGGAGGTTCCGGCAGTGGCGTAGGCGAAAGCACAGACATAAGTTCAAGAACTGGCACCCTCTCCAGCAACCCCTTTGCCCTGTTGTTGGGCCAAGTGCGAGATGATCCAGACTACTCGTACGCCATGAGCCAATACCTGAGCGAACCACCCAAGGATGGCGGCCCAACCCTCTTGGCCAGAACGAGCGAGATGAGGGAAAACGGTTTCCCAGAAGGCGATCCGTCACCATCGAGCGAATATCAGGCAAACCCCACCACCACCCTCAGAGGTATGCTTTTTCTTTCTTTTTTCCTGATCATACACACTACCGGTAGCTGCATGGTCCCCGCGTCATATCCGACGCCCACGAGTACTGTGTGGTCAACATTGGGCGGACACTAATACGACGAAGTCTTAGTTCCATTACCGGTGGATGGAGGCGACCGGGATCCAATGGAGTTGGGGGAGGAACAAGAGGGGAGAGGGGTCTGACGCTCTTGGGAGAGAGCGTTCTGCGGGATTACGGGCCTTTTAATTCGCTAGATGGGAGACATTCGTAAGTGCAACACCCCTTGACCGCTGTTTGCCCTCCCGCCTTCATAGGTTACCGGTATGCGGCCTGGTGCCTTCTACAGGCACTCGAGCACTCCCCACGTCTGAGCTGTACTAACGAAGGCCGATGCAATAGGCCCCTTTACAACAGGGTTGGGATGGTTGTTATGGAAGGTATTTGCCTATGCCTCACAAATCGGCTCAATCAGGTATGTTTCCAATGTAGCGGTTGCCTGCACTTGCACAGTATCCCTGGATTTCCATCACGACTGACTGTTACCGCATTGCTTGACAGCCCGTACCCGAAAGAATGAAAACGTCAGGTTCGGGCCAAGGCCGATGTAGAATGATGAGTGCACGAAAAGAAAAAAGGAGGAATGTTCCACCACCCCCCATCTCTTACGACACTCGAGTATCACAAAACCGGGTGTCCTTGGTATTATACGATGGCTAGATGGGGGGGGTTCGGGGGAAATGTTATTGGGTAGATGGATGATGGTTTCCCTCTGCACGCCTATTATCGTACTCAAGTGCTCGAGTACTCGCATGCGTAGATGACTACACGTACATGGAGGAAGGGTTTCCCCTTTCCTCCTCCCCAGACCCTTATTCTCTTTTGTCTCGGATTAGTTAGCGGGCCCAAACGCGGGATTTCATTGGATTATTCAATAGAGATGGATAAATAATAAACGCACAACGCGGCCCTTTTGTTTTTCCGTATTCCTATTTTTATCCTCTCCCCCCCAACTTCCGGCTCAGCTTTCGTTTTGTGCCTTCAAGATGCGTGAAAAGGAGGAAGAGTAAAAAAAATAGTACCCGAGTACGGTAGGGAAATAGTACAGTACACGCAGGGAAATGGTGGGGAAATACTACCGGTAGTAGTAGAAATGTGGGGGGGGGGGAGCATGCCGCTCATTGACGGCCCATGTATGCATAGTGATATAATATGTTGCCTTCGCGCAGCACGAGTGCAGTACTACCGGTACACTGGCACTCGTCCTCTACGAGTAGTCGCCCGCGAGTATGCACATGCCGGAGGGCCCACGCAAGTCGTGCTATCACCATGCACTGCCGTCTGCACCATTGACATTGTTCCTGAAGGAAAGCCACCCCGTGCTTACTCTGGGATTCGAGAGGTGGAAATGGGTTCGAGAGGGTTTGATGCTTGGATCATGGTAACAGTATTTATTCGTGCTTTCGTGAGAGGCTGACGCACTTATGACACCCGAGTACGGTACGGTACCGGTACTTGAGTAAGGTGCCCCTATCCACTCCCAAGGGATTACCGTATCGTAAAGAGAGCATTAACCTTGACATACCGGTATCATACACCCTTTTTTCTCTGCCTGCATCGTCCCAGCCAACCGGAGAAGGCTCCATCACTACCACTTCTGCCCCCCCCTCCCATCATCGTCGCGCTCCGTCACTCCACACCTCCGTTATCATCTACCTTAATTCTTCCCCTGAAGGGTTTCATACACGTGGCGGGGTCCCTTTTCCGGTCCCCATGACATGATTTTCGAGGTCGCCTGAGCGAGGCTGATCCTCAGCGTGGGTGTATTTAACACCGTCAGCCTCCTACCGCACATCGAAATGGAACCCTTTTCGACCCTTTCGGGTCTCACAGTAATCAAACTCAAGGTTTTGATCTTGCTTTCGTCATCCTGACCATTCAAACAAAACCGTGGAGAACGAATACTGATTAAAAATCTTGGAATTTAAATTAGGAAAAGTGTCGAGAACTCGGCCTCGGGGTTGGCGGCCGCAAAAGGGATTTAATATCGGTTCGATAGCCTCTCTTCTTTTCTTTTTCTTTTCCCTCTCTGTCCGTTCGATCGTCCCCGCCCCCCTCCACCCCTTTTAATTACCTCTTATCTTAGAGAAATTGGTTCGCAGAGACTGTCAACCCGACTGGGGCCGACGGTTCAGCGCGATGATATATCTGATGTGCCCCCACCTCGGCCAGAGTCATCCCCCGTCATACCCTCTAAGAGGGGACTAGCCGAGGAAAACACTACCAGCTCCTCGTTCCCCCTCCCCTCTGATGCCATCAAGGGTAAAAAAAAAATCAGGGTCGTCACCAGCAACCAAGGCGACAGAACTGTACTCCAAATCCCTTCTTGCCCCCCCTGATAACTTTCTTTTTCCTCATCAACACGGATTGGTTCAGAAGGAGCTAATTCGTGATATGAAGGCCGTGTTAAATTTTTCGCTGAGCTGTCCACCCTCACGCAATGCAGGTTACCAGACGACAATACCATTCGATGGGGCATCATCAGCACCACCACCACAACCGCAAGCATTGCCGATATCATCATTATTGCCCCCCAGAAAAGGGGGCAAGGCTCCCGCACTTGATCCAGCGGTCATTGTTCGACCCACATGTGATGCCGACAAAGATATTGTACAGGTGCAACAGATGGACGCTACACATCTTCTCTCCTCTGTCCGTAGTGTCAAGCGAGGTTTATTGCTAGGAGAGAATCAGAGAGTAAAGTACAGACCTATAGCGTTGGCTGTGGGGCAACCTCAGGTTATTGAGAGCGCCAGGAATGTTCCTAGCAACCCCTGCACTGCCTCAGCTTCAACCGCAGGTAGGTCCAATCGTGGCGATACGGCTATCGATAGCGACATGCGAGCTTGCCCAAGGCCGTCCGCAAGGTCGAATGGGGCTGAAGAGCAAATGCAGCACAAGCTATCTCGCATAGTCCGACGATTCAAACCGCTCAGAGTTCATCAAAATGCTGAGAGGATAGAAGTGCGCAAAAGCTCCGAGGAAAAGCCATCTGAGAGCTCTCCAAACGGGACAAAGGTGACCCAGTTCTCATATCCCTATTAAGGGTTTTTTCTTTTTTCCTTTTTCCCACTTCTTTCTTTTGTCTCTACTTTATTTTCTTCTGTTATTTATGCACACTTCCACGCAGGCTCATTAGTTCCTTAGGAGTTACAGATAACCCGTTATCCAACAATGGATGACGATGTTACGCCTCTAATCATTGGGAATCCACCACGTATCTCGCTTCGTAGAAAAGTTGAGAAGCTGGCCAGGACCCTGGCCTTGATTGCCTTCAACGCTTTTGGTGACAGCCCCGGGAAACTCTTGATAGTGTTCTCTGCGTTGTCCCGGACATATCGTTATGCATCGACACTTGCATTCACTCACTTGATAGCACTCGAATTTGCTGGCGCTCGGACCGCGTCGTGGCTAGAGGCGAAGAATGTTGACATCAGAGTGGCAGACTTGAGGGACTGGTACTGGCATAGAGCTTCCGAGAGAAGGTACAACATTGGTAAGCTTAGAAACTCATGGATGAACCGAGTATGGAAGTTTCTTGCGCGAAACGATGGTTGCCTTGTAAAGGGTAATTCATTGTTCTTCGAAGGCATCGGCAGTCACCTTTTTGCGGAACCCGATATCCGGGGCCAATTGGATGTGGCGATAAGGTTTTGGATCCGCAGATTTTACACCTTGGTAGGCTGGAATGGAGGTGGGTACCCTCAGCTCTTGGCGGATCTAAAAATGGGAAAAGTGCACCAGGTAGGTTTATCGGATGAGAAGTCTCGGTCCATATGGAAGGTGGAAACCAGGGCGGGCAAGTCTCTCTTTGTGGTCGGTAAAACCGGCGAGGTTGTCCGCGTTGCGGTTGAACCGCAGTGGGCCCTTAGTGGCTCCATAGCCGACACGGAGGCCCAGAGTCCTGCGGTTGGTGTCGCCAAGCTCGCCCCCAAATGTAAGGGAAAGGCAAGCATACCCGCGCATTACGGCAGAGCGGGTGATGATTTGGGCTCTCTGCTCCTCCCCCCACCCTTGGCTACCAGCACTTTGCGCGAAAATTATCTCCGTCACCCTCTCCAATTTGCTGTTCCGGAAGCTAGCATTCACAGATCGATCACATTGCGGCACCACCGGGCGCTAGCCGAAAGGTGGGTACTGTCAAATTTAGACGCCGATGAAATCTCGCGTGATTTTACATTGGGTCCGGATCCGGGTGTTCTTGTTGAGAGTGTTAGGTGCTCTGGGGAGAAGTGGAATTCTAGTATGAAGAGTGTCCTAGCCCCGGGCATTGGTTTCGTGCAAGCCTCCGGGACTGGGTGGTTAGTGTTGGAAGAGACTGGCCAGGTATGTATCCTGGTTTACAGGGAAACAGTTGCTGCCGTATCACACCGAGCAAGCAAAAGAGAGGGAAAGAGAAGAAAAGAAAAGAAACTTATTCTGCGTAGAATATCGCGCAGGAGGATTACGGTATCCAAGGTCTTTGGGCCACGATTCTGGGCGTTCGCGAAGATGGAACCGCACTATGTGATACCGAGCTCAATGGATTGGAGCTCATGTTCCGGTAGGTTTCGCATACAATAGAAGGCATTCAGCACGATTTGTGGAGCTCGGGAACGTCGAAAAACCCAGTATGACGGATCCTTCGAGAGCTGTAGTAAACTTGAATTTATATTCATGGTATTTTCCAACCAATCTCGCTCTAATTGCCCATGCTAGCGCATTTCCACCGGAAATACTACACACCAACCGCCTTGGGACATGAGAGGTATACGGTGGTGGCCACAAGGTAGTGATTTTCTATTCAGCAAGTGTGTTGGATCGGTGCATAGTGGGAACGTGCACGAGGAGTGCATTGTAGAGAAAAAAATAAGGATATGCACGACGCAATGATGAATGCTGTGGAAACAGTTGAACCCCTCTGTAGTCTAAGGTCTGCACAGTGATGGATGGTCTGATAATGGTGGTCCCTCTCATCACGTGTCCACGGTACCGAAAGATAGGCCATACAGCACAAGGAAAAATTAGAAGTCTGCCGGGAGATCAGCGAAAGCCGATAGGTGGCACAAGTGCTCCTCCTGGCCAAAAGCTTGTATCCATACTCGGGTAACGTATTTCTTCCCCTGTGCCCTCCTCGGATACGAGGCTGTAACTTCTATGATACGATATGATTTTTTTTCTTTCTCTTTCCTATCCCAATTGGCAGGATGGCTCATAGTACCCGATGAGAAGTCGGCAACATCAAGTCTACACCCTCGCTGCAGTGCTTCACTTTGTTGACTGAGGAGGGGGGCTGGAGGGGAAGCTATCGGCGAGTTTAGTCATTCCGATCCATGCTGTACCTTTGTTGTACCGAATACCAGCACAGTAGCAGACCAACTGTAACAAACCCATCTCGATCCTATTCATATATTCATAGTAATACATTGATTCTATCATACCACGAAAGCAGCCTTACGGCGCAGCTTCACTGCAGGGCAAAAATTGGCATCATACGATACATTATTCTGGAATGCTGACAGCACAGCACACTCACTGGTGCTGATGCAAACTGGCGGAGTGTATTTTTTTCATTCTTTTTTCATTCTTTTTTTCATCTTTTTCACTAAAAATGCCCCTAAATGCTGCCCAACAGTTTTCCGGCCGACGTTCACTTTACCGCAAAAATGGGTTCATATTATTCCATACTCGTACAGAAGTTCTCGGAGGAAAACTCCGCCGCTGGTGTTAGGACCCTTGAGCTTTCGCCGTCGGACTGGTCCATTTCGGACGACGACAATGCTCGAACGCAGTGATGGGAAATCCGCAAGGCAGGTGCTATCGCAGACCACAGCCTTCGCCCCTGCCTGCCCACGATGGACGAAACTGAAACTGGGAGGGTGACAGTGGCATCATACTCATACTGGTATGTATCATTCCTCCGTATGCTGCTGACCAACGACCGGCAAGGCTGGCTTTGGCCGGATTCAAACCCCCTCCTGGCTCGGGGGCTGCGTTGCTGGTCTGGGGATGGAGGGTTTCCGTGGAAGAGCGTCTTATGATACTCCGTGGTTTGGAGGGATTCCCCGTCGTGATGTGTATGGCGAGTTTGTTGTTGCACAGTACAGTACTCGTGATGTATGAAGAATCACGGAGAACCGGGGAAAAAAGAGGAAGAGAAAAAGAAAAAGACTCGGTAAATGAGTGAGAAAAATTGCGGCGAACAGTGATACCGTAACCGGTATCCTGCTGGGCACTATGCTAAATGGGGTGCTATATTTGTCGATCATTGCCTAGGCTGCTGGTCTAACCCAAAGGGTCTAACCCAAAGGGGAAAGAGATCGTTTGCTGAAATAAGCAATCTGGGAATGCACACAAGCGTCGCTGTGCATACCGGGAGTGCGCAGCGCTGCAATATATTATTTTTTTCCCATGATACTGTACTGTACAGTACGGCACCTTGGGGGATTTTTTTTCTTTCCATTTCCTTTTGGTCCGACAAATGCGCCAGCTCATCACCCGCCCGGTTTTCTCGTTGTGGGGGGACTCGTTGAGGGCTGTGTAGCACAATTATGGAACTCGTATCATACAGGGCCGGACACTTGGACCGGCATTCGGTAGTAAAGTACCACAGCGGGTGGTAAAGAAGTATCATACCGTACTGTACTGTACCATACCAGACGATGAGCACTGACGAAATACACTGCGGAAAAGGAAGAAGAAATAGGAATCCGTTTGCATATTTCGGAGGCGGTGCGAGTTGGGTTCACGACTCCTGTTTTGGGCGTTTTCTTCGCCCGCTACAGTAAGCCACCATTATTTACAAGTACCCTATAATACGATGAGGTATTATACCGTAGGTTTCAAGTGCGTGCTCCTTTGGGCCTTGCTGGAACTTGGATGGGAGGCCTGGTGGTGCTTATTCTCTCTGGGATCCATTGTCTGGACTCTGGAGTACTCTACCCCGAAGGGAAGGAAGTACTGTGACTGCAGCCGTTACAAGAATTGGGACTTGTGAAGTGGAGTATTCTTTCGCTGGGTTGTGTGTTGCATTCCTGTAAACTTGTGATTGATACTGCCATGTATTTTTCCTTTCCTGCCCCCTTCAATGCTTCCTCTCTATTCGGCCTTATATATATATATATATATATATATTTTGTCGATGATATTCTTACATTCGTCGTGTGATCTGGAATTTTCTTCAATTTTTTTCCCCTTTTCTTTTATTCACTCTTCCGATAACTATAGTGACGGATGCTTGAGATGCGGGTATTAGGGTTGGTGGTGGTGTTGTCGTTGGGAGTATTATTGGGTGGGGTATTCGCGAAAACTTGGGATGAGGGTGGGATTAAATATCCGATTAAGGGTCTCTGTCGACGGTGGGATCATCAGGGTGAGTTTTTTTTCGTGAACTTTGGATCTGCGAGTAGTAGTAGAGGAGGAAGAGGAAGGAGAGGTGGCTGATGCGGGAAGGTTGGAATTGCCACGGTTGATAGAGTGGGAGGTAAGCTATACTTGGTCGGAGGGGGAGTATTATTGAAGGAGCATTTCAACAACTCAGAGAATGTTGTTCCCTTTTGGGGTGAGCCGAGTACCGTATGTCTCCCGCTCCCTCTTATGATAAAATAATAAAGGAGGGAAGAAAGAAAGAAAGAAGGAAAGAAAACTCTAATGCTAACATGATATTTCCCTCCCCAAAAAGGCAGTGAATTCTTAGAACTAGACCTAACCCAATCCTGGTCCCTCGTAGGGGACCAAGAAACCATGATATACCCACCCTGGAAGCCGGTGCAGTACACGATTGACACGGAACGTGGAGAAAACGACCTAGCAGTAGCCGGGGGCGGTCTCTGGTCCACCTACCAAACCATCCAAAACAATCTCTACCTCTACGACGGCCTTCCCACAAAGGACGTTAGCCTCGACCTCCCCTCAACCCTCCTATCCTATGATATCGAGAGCAAACACTGGTCAACCAAACGTGTCTATCCGGAGACTGACGGCGAGAGGCCCCTGCGGTTCTCGCGCGGCACGAGCGTGGAAGTGCCGGATGCTAGTGGTAAGAGCTTTTACATTGGGGGCGTGAGGATGTACCATAATGCTTCTATCGGGGCGGAGGAATCTTGGTACTATCCTGTTAAGCAGCAGGTTGTTGGTATGGCAGTGAGGAATGGCGAGTTTGATAAAAGATTTGAGGGCATGACAAGGGGGAGGAAGACTATTGGAGCTGCAGTTACGTACATTCCCTACGGCGAAGAGGGGAGCTTGATCACGATCGGTGGGACGGATGAGGGAAGTGATAGGGTTGGTTTTGGATCCCACCCGTTTTTTTTTCCTTTTTTCACCAATCTTGCTGGGTGCAGCTGATCTGAATTGTTTTTTTTTGTTTTTTTAGATAAAGAGCTTAAATTCTCATGGGGAGAGGCTGGTTGACTAGGCGCCGAATGCTTCTGCAATGGTTTGTTTTAGAATTTTGTTTCCGGAAATTCATGTCAGATACTGATAGGTGGGAATGAATGAATAGGCGCGTAAAGAGGAAGCCTGGATCTATGATATCAAAAGCAAGAAATGGCACGTTCAGGAGACAACTGGCACTGGCCCCTGGGAGCGCATGGGGGCGTGTGCCGTCTCCGCGTACGACCATGAGACCCACACAACACAGGTTTTTCTGTACGGCGATGGGTCTGGATCCCGTTTGTTTGGCATGGACGACAAGTCCTTCATGGGAGACCTCTTTGTCCTGCAGCTGCCGTCGTTTCAGTGGTTTGCGTACAATGACAGAGCGAACGCTCCCGCCGCTAGAACGAGGCATACTTGCCATGTTATCAACGACAAACAGATGCTCATCCTTGGCGGGGGCAGAAACGACACTTTGAGCGCCAATAAGGGACTGAAGGAAACTTGCACATGGGATGAAATGAGCGTGCTGGACATGACCCTGCTGGAGTGGCAGCAGGAATACAGGCCGACCTCAGTACCATATACCATACCTGAAGACGTCAAGAAGAGCAGCATGTTCCAAGGGCGAATTGTACAGGAACCTGCCACCGGGTGGTCAAGTCCGGACTTGCAAGTGCTCTTCCAAGCCGGTGACAGTGGCCTTGTCGAGGCAGTGCCGGTAGCAGAAGACAAAATAGCCGGATTGAAGAAACCAGTGTTCATCGGTATCATTTCAGTGGTGGGAAGTTCTCTTGTGCTGCTCCTGGCGGTATTCCGAATCTGCCTGCGCAAGAGGAGAAAAGAGAAAAAGAGGAGGATTGTAGACGCTAATCCTGTGGCATGGCATCTTGGCCCGCAGGACATGACCATGATATCACCAGGCATGGCTTCAGTACCTAGCCACCAACCTTACGATCCAAATCTCCCTATAACACAAACACGCGACAAAGATCTGTACCATCTACCACCGGGAGCCGGGCACACCACAGGCCCGGCTCTGCCAGCAGAAATGTCCAGCGAAGGAGAACTCGAGAGAGTGGAGATAGCGGGCACATCGGTCAGATATGAGCTTCCGACCACCGTAGTCACTTCTCCGAGATGTAAACCCCTCCCTCCCTCCAGCATTTTTTTATACACACTGATCTCTTTAATGATAGCGCCGCCAGCAGAGTATATCCATCCGGCTTCAAGGGATGGATACACACCTCTGTGCCCACACTCTGAAGCATCGAGCCCCGTCTCGCATGGCATTATGAGGCCGGTGAGCGAGATCGAGGACCTCGGTCTTGATACTAACGCGGATCCGAGTGCGGGTCTCCCGGGCTCGGACCATGTAAGGACTTCTGCTGAGTCTGCCTTCTCAGAGGGGAATGTAGATGAGACCTCAACTAGTGGGGGCTCTCCCAAGGGTTCAACAGAATAGACATTTTTTTGTTTATGTTTTATTCCCTCTGGCGTTTGTTTTACTATTACTATTTCGTTTCCTTTGTTTGGCATTTCTGGTGTTGGGCTTGCCTTTTTTCTTTTTTCTTTCTGTGTACGATAAGCGTCATTGGCTGTTGACTTGATGAGCTAAGCATGCTTGAGAAACAAGTTCTGCAGGCCAGGGCAGGACACGAGCACATATGGCTATCAAGGTTGAGAGAAAGAGAAGATTAGAGTAGAAGTATCATAGTTGGGACATCAACCACCGACCAAGAAACGATTGTACGAGTACGGTACATTACCCCGTACAGTACTCTGTTAGTGTGCAGCGCCCCCACCACATCCTCCCCCAACCTTAAGAATAAAAAGAAAGAAAGCAAAAAAAAAAAAAACTTCCACCGTACTCAGCCGTTCGCAAAACACCCCCGGCCTTGTTCTCCATGCAGAAATAAATACACTACTGTACAGATCATACCGTCCCGAAATCCTGCACCGTCTCATGCATTTACTCTAACCACATCAGACCAGCCAACCCCTACCGCCTCCTACTACACAATATAACCGACAGAACCCGACGTCAATGATTACCCATCCATCCCACCCGATACTTGCACCTATAATAACTATAATAACTATAATAATAGTAGCAGAGAACCCACGTGATAAACAGATACCATCCTCCACCACGAAGAAAAGCCATGAACAGAAGGATATTCACCAGCACTCGCCAAAGCTGAGAGAAAAAAAATCCCTCTTCAAGGGATCATACGTAGAGCATTATCTACCACCAGTGACAAACCCGTCGAATCACCGGTCCTTCACTCCTCCTCTTCCACCTCCTCCTCCAACAGCCAATTTTTTTTGGTTTTTCTCTACCCTTTGACCCTCGAGGATATGAAGAGCATGATAACACAAGTGTGATTTCTATATTACAAATACCGTATTTGGCTGTGCTATCCCTTTCAGTCTGGTTCGTCCGATAAGTTGGCATGGGGAGGGATTGGGTCGATCGGTTGCATTTGCGCTGTGCTCGAGTGTCGGTGTTTTTCTTCTGGTCAGGGATAATGGCCTGTCGATTATAGGTTATAGGTGCGGGTGGGTGGGTGTCCGTGGCCTGCACGATCCCTTTGGCTGTTGGATTAAGGTGTGGCGGGGTTTGTCGGTTGTGCAGGCTTGTTTGGGGTGGGAGGGTGGGTGGGTGGTCTTGGCTTTGATTCGGTTTTTGTAATACGGGGCGATATGGCATACTCTAATGATTGGAGGTTGTGAATGGCCTTATCCATTGTGTGGAAGTTTTTCGAAGGGGGGTGAAGGGGGGGGGGTATGATAAGTTAGTGGGGGGGGCAACGACGATTCCAGATTCGCTGTGGTTGGTGGATGGAGAGAGGGGAGGAGGAGTTGAGATATGGATTTGATTGAGGAGTTTTCGTTCAAATTCTTTCTTCAGGTTTCCTCCCACCGCGATAATCTCCAACGCTCAATAATTCCTACATCTACATCTTCAAGCGACAGCAACCGAAACAATTCTTGAATGCTTAACAAAACTCCTAACCGCCTCGCCGGAGATGTCTGCACTCTCGGTATTCCTCGGTGTCACCGAAACCCAAGGCGATTCCGTCGTCAGCTCTGCCCTCGGGACCTGCAGCTCTCGAAAGGCTTTACCCTAGGAATGCCACTCAACCCCTACCGAGTCCAAAACTGGGGTATCGAAGGGGCACGTATCGGAGATAGTATGATACGGCCAGATATGGGCGACAAAGAGTCTTTACCGGCTGCGTTGGAGGTGTCCTATTTGGTGTTTTTGAGCATGAGCTCTTCGTCATACCCTTGGTCTGTTAACTCCGGAGTGGGGCGTGAATGGTGGTGGCTGATGAAGTGTAGATTACGGGAAGACCTTACAAAGAAAGGAGCTCCAGTAGGGTAAAAAGATCTCTGACGTTGCAAGTGAAGTTGGAGTTGACAATTCTATATTCTGGCCATTGTCGGATGCTAAATAACGTGCCCTTCCCCCACTCTTCCACTTTTCCAAAGAAGGAAAAAAAAGAAAACTTCTATTAATGAAAGGCTCACAGTCTCGGGTGAAGGGAGAATACTTTACTTCCAAAAGTTACTATCTGGTACCACGACCAGGCCATACACCCAAGCCTTGCGTCCGCATCCCCCGCTATGGGCCCTTTTAGGCTTCCTTCGTCTCCAATACCCAATACCCCACGGGAGTCAGAAGCATAAGGATGTGAAAGGGAAGTGCTGCGCCGTGGATTGGCCAGTTAGCCGGTGAAGCCCTGACTTAGTGCCTTTAGCTTAGCTATGACACATCGGACAGAATCTCGAATACCGGTAATTCGATCATGCACTACCGTACCCGCTCGAGTACAGTACTCGAAAATTCCCTACTCTACCCCAGAAAAGTGTGAAAACAGAACGAAACCTGAGCCACTCAGCCCCTCTAAGGCAAACTCTAAAAAGCAAAAATAATAATACACCAACCCTTACGGGAGCAGGCAACTCCAAAGACATCCGGAATTCCCCCCCCTACCTATCAGCAGTCATATATCCAACACAACAAATATAAACATAGGCAAAAACCCCGGCACCCCGATTCCCGCACTACCGTGCCCCGTCACCATACATACATGCATACAGACATACTCGTACACACACTACCGGCTACCATACGACACTTTATCATACCATAATGTGTACAACAAAAATCCACCTATTACATCCCCCGCCTTGTCCGTTTCTCCGGAACCCCAAAGCAGGTTGGTTGGTTGGTTGGCTGGCTGGCCAGTCGGAGGCGCAGAGGGAAAAAGGGTCTCCTTCGATAAGACTCACCATCCATCCATACCCCATCCCAGAAAACCTGTCCCACCTACAGTACCATCCGTCCCGCCAGGCAGATTTTGATCCGGCGAAACGCAATTGATATCACAAGGTATCACTCGTGCAGCGGCGCAGCGCAGAAGCGGGACTTGCCGCGGCAGAGCCTCACGGTTCTTCCTTGGCCGAATCCGCCGACGAACCCGTCGCGAGGGGGCTATCGGAAGAAATATGATCCGTTGACAACGCGTCCACGGCATTTTTCAAGGCTACTCGCACTCGCACTCGGTGGATTTCACGAGATTTTTTTTTCCTTTCCGGCACCGGTACCGGTGCTTGTACACATTTTCGTTACGGTCGTGCCGGTGTCTGGAATGGAGTTCTGCGTGGATGTATCCGACAATGGATGGATGGACGGGTGACTATAAATTATGGGAACGAGTGTTGGATAGGAAAGGATTAGGGGACTTTTTGAACACGTTCACAAATTCATGCCAAGATGCTGTTTTTTTTTTAATTTGTATATATTGGACGTATTACTAAGCGAGGAAAAAAGTGAGCGAATGGGTACGATTTTTGGTGTCATGTGCTATATATAAATGCTACTGTGTCCAATAAACTATCTCAATTGTTTTCTATCAACCGCCCTCATTGACTTGCCGTCTATATTGGGCTTTCTACGGTACAAGCTTTACCCTACGATGGCCCCCGCGCTTACCCTTCCAACGCCTCCTCCAGAGTTGGAGGAGGCTCCTCTTCAAGGTTTGCACGGTATGTATGATGATAATGGCTTGTGGTGCCATTTCACGGCTCTGGTGACCATCTGACGGGAACTGATGTGTGGGTGGTGACTAGTTCTTGATCTTCCGGCGTTGTATACTAGGCCTCGGGTTGAAGATTTGCTTTCTACACTCAACAGATTGGCCCTCGCGCCAACTTCGTGGGACAAGGGTGGGCAAGGGGTTGTCGATCCTCCGGGATTGAGCAAATGGTTGACTGGCATAATTGCTAGTCCGTTAAAGTGGATCGGAAACGATGAGGTCAAAGAGGTGGTATGGGAGGCAGTGAGCACGCGATTGGCGGAGAGGTGCGGACGAACAGGTGTTTATCGTTCTCTCTCTCTCCCTATTATTATAATAACAGTGGTTAACCGAGTGGTTCAGCCATGCCTTCACAAACAAGAACTTTTCAGATCCCCCTCCCCTTTTCTCGAAAATCCATCAGCATATCCCTCCGCGAACCAACCCTTACAGCAGACAACCTTGGGTTAAAGACCTGGGCCTCTTCGTACCTCCTATCCAAACGCCTTCCGCTACTCGACCTCCCAACCTTCTCATCCACCGCGAGGGCCCTGGAACTCGGAGCTGGCACGGGTTTGGTTGGGTTAGCTGCGGCTGTGATCTTTAAAATTCCGGTTCTCCTTACCGATTTGCCAGATATAGTGCCTAACCTACAGCACAACGCAAATACAAATTCTGCGCCTGGAACCGCGATTTCGGTTTCGGTAATGGACTGGCGGGAAGGAGTATATGAGGTTGTGTCCGAGGGTGAAAAGTATGACCTGGTTCTTGCGGCGGATCCCCTTTATTCGCCAGAGCATCCGGGACTTCTTGTTGGAATGGTTGGCAAGTGGTTGAAGAGGGGAAGACATAGCAGGGTTGTTGTTGAGATGCCGTTAAGGGATGGGTATAGTTCTGAGAGGGTCGATTTTAGGGGTAGAATGGAAAAGGCTGGGTTGGAAATCAGAAGTGAGGGAGTTGAGACTGGTGTCGATGATTGGGGAGCTGGAGGCGAGGTTAAGTGTTGGTGGAGCGTCTGGGGGTGGAATGGGGACTGCGAATTTTATTCTGTCGGGACATCGGATGACGTTGGTTTGGATTGATGGGGGTTTCAGGGTTCCGGGTGCGCTTGGGGTTTAAAGGGGTGTTTGTTAAGGTAAGCATTTTCCATCGCCGGATGGGTTAGACATCATTAGAGTTATCGGAATAGAAGTCGGAACAGAAGTCATGATAGATGAGACGAGATGAGATGAGATGAGAGGGATTGAATTTCTCGGCGATTGTTTCTGCAGCGTTTGATGAGCCGTGATGTCATCTCGAGCCAGAATCCCGCGTAGCGTTGCCATCGCCATTGACATTGCCATTGTGCTGGAGCATAGAGCTACGGTACTTCTCCCCGTTCGTGCTTTGCCGTACCTCCGGTACCGGTCTGGCACGGTAGCGATAAAATGCTACATACTCGGGCGTGGACGTGGGATACCGGTGCCGGACAGCCAGGGATTCCAGGGGCCTGGCCGTTCCTGCCCCCATAGGAAATAAAAGAATGAGTCTGGCATGAGAATTGCTCGAACAAGCAGGAAGCCCTGCCACCTCTAATCCCTGGCTGCCCGGTCACCCACGTCCATACGCGAGTACAGAGGTATCATACTCTCTTACCGGCACCGAAAGCCTTATCAAACCTCGATTCCTTCTTAAATTCACAATGCCATCGAGCCCTTGAACCCGAGCCACACCTGGCAAGCATGCCGGAAGCCTTTCAGTTCCATGCTTCCCACGTGGAGGCGTGACCTGACAAAGCTTGGGGCTTGGGACCGTTTCCAATTCTGCATGATCTCGAAGGGCCCCCCATCCACCAATGTGAGGCTAACAACCTCTCTCGAGTACGGTACAGTACCGTATGATACCGGTATTAGCTGGATCCCGTAACTGAGCGATGGTGGCAACCAAACTGTGGGGAGATCCCCCGCGAGAGTATCTCCACCAACTCTTGACTCGTGCTCATGCCAATGGGCAGGCTCGCACACACACACAATAGATAACTATCTCTAATATCATTGAGCATCGGTCGGAAAAATTGGGGGGAATGTGGGATACATTGCAGCCATTCGTGACGTCCCATTGCATTTCCAAAAGGAATATGGGATGCCAACAAGGACGCCTCCATGCATGGAAACCATCCCTCTGGACACTTTCTTGCTGGATTAATCGCTGAAGGGTGCGGGGAACCCCTGTGAAAATCCGTTTCGCCTCACCTTCTAAGATTGTTCTTTTCCTTCGAGTTTGATATGGGAGGAAATCACCCGATTGGGATATCTTGGAACTTGGCGAGTCAGCATCGCGGGAATGTTGGCATGGGTCCCTCCTTGGTTTCCATGACATCTATTGGAAGAAAATATTTAAATTTACATCACCCCGACTTTTATGGTCTATGGAAACCAATAATCTTTCTCGAGTGGCATTTTTCACGATGAGGATTCAAAACTGGTGCCCGGGATGCCTCTTCGGGCTTTTTTTTTTTTTTTTTTTGATGAATTGGGCAGATGGTGCCTTCTCCCAGAGGCTTATTCAAAAGCACACTGCCCGAGCACCCCGACAGACAGCTGCCGCACACAGCACAGCAAATGGCTGCCAAATTGTCCATCATTCGGTGCCAAGGACACTCTGCATGCCTATTCTCGAGTGCGGTGGGGCATGTCGGCTTTGTGTGGGCAAGATAACTGGCAGCTTGCACAACTTTTTGTGGGGTTTGCGGGGTTGTGGTTGCCTTGGGGAGGGAAGATGTTATGTCAGCTCCACAGGGTTGTCAAATGCCGACACTGTGTATCATTCCGGTATGTGCTCTGGTACTGTACGAGTATGTACATGGCTTTCGCTCGGGTTGGTCTTGCCCCGAAGGGTACATGGAAGGTCTACGGTGGTCGGGAGAGCAAGAGTCTGCACCAGTGCCTCTTCATGGTCTTAAGTTACCGCTTTGAAACTCTCTGGAGCATCGTCCACCGATAGGTTGAGTGGGCTTTGATTGGCGAATTGTTTCTCGGGGAAAACAGACGCGACGCGACGCGCAATGATACATGAATCTTGGTTGCAAAGAAGAGCGGGGTTAGAATATAACAACGCACCGTGACGATTGCACTGCTCCTCCCTTTCCCTTCTTTCTTTCTTTCTTTTTTTTTTTTTAATCCCCTTGGCCATCAACCATATTGTTTCCAAGGCGGGCGGGCAGGCCAGCGTGATTTCTCCTTCCCCCTTCTATACAGCCGTATCATTTTCAAGGCGGACAGGCAAGCAAAGCATCGTTTCCCCTCCCTTACAACTCCAAATTTGCCCAGTGCCGGCCGTGCTGCTTAGGAGAGAAAAAAGGTACTTAAAAAGGTACCAACATGTATTTCTTTGGTGCGGGGTACAAGCCAATGCCACTTCATCAACACCAACCCATATAACTGAACATCCGACCCCCTTTCTTCAGGACGCCGTTCCGAGAGCTCCTCGACCACACATACATCACCTCCAGGCAAATCAGACTATCTTGTTTGTGGACCACGTTTTCCCTCGGTTCTTTACCAACGAATGGGCACCCTCCGGAAATTACTCGAGAAGCACGGCAAGAGGAAAGCCATTGTTGGGTTGACGGCATGGGATTACCCCAGCGGTCTTTTGGCCCAACGTGCAGGTGGGATTGATATGGTCCTCGTGAGCGACTCACTGGGAAAGATTGTCCTGGGACTTCCCGGGTCAATTGGGTTGAGTTTGGACGTGAGTGCACCCGTTCGGAGGCTTCTTCATAATTATCATTATTAGGCTCTTCTCGTTGTTACCTCATGTCGCTTGATTTTATCCCTTTCTCCCATCCCGGCCCCCCGCAAACCATCTGTATCATCCATCATCGCCGCCATCGTGCTTCATCATCCCCATCATGTCTCCGGGGTCTAATTACTAGGGCACGGGCGCAGGATATGATTCATCATGCTAAAGCAGTTGCCCGCGCTGTCAAAACCCCATTCTTACTGGCTGATTTACCAATGGGAAGCTATGAAATATCACCAGAACAAGGTCCTTACTTCTCACTCGTTCATCCCTCTCTCACACACTCTCTCTTTCACACTCTCTACTCGTGTCGGGGAGAAGCATAAGCTGGGGCTGGTACTGACCATGTTATCGAGGCTATAGCTCTGACATCTGCCATCCGCATGATCAAAGAAGCGCCAGGGGTATCGGGAGTAAAACTCGAGGGCGGCAAAGAAATAATTCCGCAGGTTTCCAAGATCACCTCTGCGGGTATCCCGGTATTCTGTCAGGTGGGCATAACACCGCAGCGAACGATCCAGACGGCGAACGATGAGGAGGGCACGGGCAGAAGTGAAGTGAGCGTTAGTACTCCCAGTGTTCACCTGGCGTCGACGGGGAAGGAGTGTTTGTGGATGGGGCTCGGACGAACTTCGGTTGGGTCTAGTTCATTTTTTCTGAGGAAATTTACCAGGCTAGTGAGATATTCGACGATGCGCTATGCCTTCAGAATGCTGGCGCTGTGGGCATCATGTTGACTGCTGTGTCTCAAGAGGCAGCGAAGCTGATGAGGGATCATCTGACGGTTCCGACAATTGGTATAGGGTATGACCTTTTCGCTCCAAGGCTGTTTGCAAGGTTGAATAGGGCTTGTTTGACGGTTGAATGGTCCAGCTCTGGGAAACTCTGCGACGGGCAGATGGTATTCCAATCCGAGATTTTAGGTTACCAAGATCCTTGTGTTCCACAGTGCGTTGTGCCCTTGGTCATCTAAACTTCTGAGCACTTCTGACGCCCATGACAGGTGGCACAGTCAATTCGAGTCAATTGGGGCAAAGTCACTCACTGCTATCCGTAACTACGTGAAGGAGGTTGGCGAGGGGGAATTCCCGGGTGATGAATTGGTACATCTCCTACACCTACCTCCATCCTGAGAATTACATCATTTCGCAAGCCTTCTTTCTTCTATCCTCTCCGCCCTACCGCTGCGTTTTGTGGGAGGGAAAGAAAGGTTGGCTAATTGGGATTGGCCGGGTCGTGGTCGTGGCTGGGCTTTGTTGCGTGCGCGCTGAATTACAGACTCATCATTTGTTCACTGGGCAGAATCTGGACAATTTGGGGTTGGACGGCTTAGTTGTGGATTGAGGTGGTTTTCTCTGCATCTTGGGTTCCACTTGGTTTGTTTGTTTTAGAGTTTTTTTTTTATCCCTCTCTGCCCGGGACGAATGCGAGAAATAAACGGATGGCGATAAGTACATTGAGGGTGCCATGACAAGCCGAGGGATAGGAAGGGCGATGGAAGACATATGTAGGTGGGGGTTTCAGAATCATTATTTTTTAGCTTTTTTCTTTCTCTCAGGACAAGGCGTTTACTCCTCCCCCCTCGTTTTTTTTCACTTTCCTTGCTCCTTCCTTTTCTCCTGATGGTTTCGCGAAAAAATCCAAACGGTGTTAGGTCACTCATCCATGATATCATACCGCTCATGTGTACAAGTACCGCATTATGGGCTCGTGCGTGTGTGTACAGAGAGACCTACGGACAAGCGAGATGTGGTAGTAGTACGGTATCGACGGAAGTGTCATCAAACGTCGAAAGTATGGATAGCTTATCATAACGGAGACTCTTGCATCTCTGATCACCTGCAGAAATGACATTTAAAGATAAAACGGCAAAAACGAGAGTGAAATCGTCCTTAAGTTTATCGACGCTAGTGTATCACCCTTAACTACCTAACTAGCCAACCGCACGTGTAGACATAATTAGGGTTAGGGTTTTTGTGTCGTCTATGGTGTCATGAGGCATTGTTCAGCACATTAGCCTCGTTTTGCCCTGGCGGAACTGATGCGGATGTGTACTCGTGCAGTAGGGTAGCGCACGATGCTCAAGCGGGTTGGGGGATCGTGTGTGAATACCTGTGGGCCGGGGGGGGAGAACTCGATCTATTGTTGCAGGCGGATCGATCACGATGCTGTATCGTACCGCAAGTCATGTGGGCGCAGTAGGTGCAAATAGTGAGCCACGATTGAAGGGGGTCGACCGTTATTAACTGGAGGAGTGAGTGAGTGAGTGCTGTTTAAGCCTAGCTTGTTTACTCGTAATGTACTGTTTTATCATACCTAGTTACGCGCTATGGTCCGTCCATGTCCGACTGCTCGAACTGCATCACAAGTCAACGCTGAGGCTGAGGGCGTAATCGATCATACCGTATCATGGGCCGTGCTATCCCGGTTTCCTTCCCTTCACTTCCCCCCCATATACTCGAGTACGTCGGGATCGAGGCTGAGACTTCACTTTCACTTTCGCTCGTTGCCCACGGCTTAACGACGTAGTTATTCTGTCATAGTAAGCTCTTTCGACCATCGACCGTTTGAACCGTTGAAAGTTTTTCTTTTTTCTTCTTTTTTTTCCTTCTTACCCCACCCCTTTGGTGGAAGTGGGAAGGAAGGAAGGGGTTGGATGCAACGCGTGCGCAGTCCTGAGCAAGGTTCTAGAAGGGGGGGAGGGGGGTGGGGGATGAGGGGTGAGGACAAGAGGGGAGGGGGATGGGCTGATTAGGCATGGCCGATCACTCGATTGCTTAGTTGGGGTTAGGGTCTGTGTAACATGTGGGTCAGGGTTCTCGTTATTATTGTTATTATTTTTTAAACCGGATGGCGGGGAGAATGGGGGAAATGAATAGACTACGGTAGGTGATGCTATAGTGATTTACTCACTCACTGTGTCCGGGTTGTAGGAGGAGTATCATACCCTCCCCAGAGTGAAGTAATGTTGCTTCCGACAGACCGTTTTGTCTGTACTATAGGTACTGCCCTCGTGAAAAGTTGAACCCTGCAGTCTCCTGCGGAGTCGATGGTGAGGGACGAACAGTCGTCATGGAATATCACTCGTATTAGATTCTGGATTTGTTCGGATTGGGAGAGTGGGAAGGTCTCTTTTTATTTTATTTTTATTTTTATTTTTATTTCGCATCGTGGGTGTTTGAGCATTGTGGTATATAGAAGGGTACCTACCAGAAAGGAAAGGAAAGGAAAGGAAAGGGGAGGGGAGGGGAGGGAAGGTGTTAGATCGCAAGTGTTGATTTTCGGGGGAAGAACGAAGGTAATTACAGAGGGAGGATGACAGTTTCGTCGGTTTGAAGCGGGCACATATCTTTGTATATACATAGCATACATGTATCATAGGGTGTGGATATTCCGGAAGCTATATATCTCGCTCCGTGCTGTACTTTATGTGTGGGCATTCACTTGATGGTAATACTTATTCCTTTGGAGTCTCTTTAGCGGGCGGGGGTCTCCGGACGTTACCGGAAGTACAGCAGTATAGCTGTAGTAGCGAGTGCACTCGTGAGCGTAAGTGAGTGGTAAGAATGTTTTTTTTCTCTTCCGTTTGGATACGTCCCGGTGTAAAGGGGTGGGTACATCCTTGTCATGGAGGACACAATGAGTGAGTGAGTGAGTGAGTGAGTGAGTGAGTGGAATAAGCCCGTTTTCTGTAAAGCCTTTTTTCCTCTTCTCCCCTCTAAGAGCGTGGTTCTAATATATAGGATCGGACTGGTTGGTGTGATGGGCTCTTTCCCACGGGTCGTGTTTTGTCATATGTGCTTAGTTGTATGATAGCCAGGTGAGAACAGTGCTTCCACTGCAACGGGATGGGGAGAGCGAACTGCTGAGGTGCGCTAGGCAGAGCTTGACAATGTTGGGCCAGTAAATTAGGATGGGAGCAAGTGTAGGTTGTGGAGGTTCTCAGTTTCCCGGAAGGGGTTGATATATACAGGTTCTTCACAGCATTACCATACTTCTCCCAACAGCCGGACCCTTATTTATTTATTTATTTTTCACCCTGGGCTTACAATCCCCCCCGTGTATTTCTTATTTATTTATTTCTGTGAATAGGTGCTCAAGTTAGGTGAGGCTTTCCTCGAGCGGTAGCAGTAGCATTGCGAATTTCTCTTTTAGTCAATTGCAAGGTATTTTTCCCACAGACTTGTTTTTGTTCCCCTATTATAGCATTCTGCGAGTCTCATAAGTGCTTCCCCGACACATTTATGAAGTTTCCTGAAAACTGGATACTAGATAGCTCAAAACTGCGCAAATCTACACTTTAATCACCTATTATCACTCGGATATGCTTCCTTCATGTTACCCCACTTATGCCATGATCATGTGCGACTCGAGCCGTGAATGTGCCCACTGCGGCTAGGTAGGGGGGGGGGGGGGTAAACACGCCCTACAGCCGTGTCAGGTGTCGGGCTGGGTTGGAGAATCCTGTCGACTGTAGAGTGCCCCGGGGGTTTCTGTGGGCTGGGGAAGTTGGATGCCCCATATTAGGATGGAGGAGATAGATTTTTGGGCTACCCCACTAGCCTTAGATATGGGGGATTATACATGTGGTGGCTTTGACAAGGTGTGTCTAGGTTTGGCCTAAAGGGTGTTTAATTCCGGCGAAAGAGGGGTGGGGTGCGAATGATCCAAGGTACCTCAATCTTTTCTTTCAAATGCCTCCGATTGCTCCTATCGCTCACCTTTCCACTAGCACCCAGAACATCCGAAACCACTCGGATGTTCTACGGACTGTAGGAAATTCACCAGGAAATGTTGGTGAATCCTTCTGATGCTCTGAGCCCCCCACTCTATATCTTTACCAAAAAGCTCCCGACCACGAATGTCCAGCACTAGACATCGTCATGTTATCCGGCAACGATTTCCCGGACGGCGGTCGTGGTGAGCACTCAGAATCTCCAAGCATCGACCATACCCGGATAGAGATTCACCAGTACCGGCAGGATCGGATGGTTCAATTCACTATCAAAGGATTGTAAAGTTGAAGAAGAACACCAGTGACGCAAAGTCCACACCCCAAGCCCCCAGCGAAGAACCGAAGCGGATGGAAATCTCCTCGGTATGTGGACAAGTACCTTAGTCGTGCCTGGCATGTGGGGTGCCCGTTCTCTCCCAAAACGAGATAGAGCGAGTGAGCAGTGGAAACTAACCAAAGAAGCACGAGAGCATTCCAATAGGAAAATGCAGGGGAGGACTGCACCGATAGTGCCTCATAGGTAATAGGGAAAACGAAGGAGTCTCCCGGTTCGCGGATAAAAAATCGTAGCTCAACAGGACGGATCCTTTGGTTGCTGTCTTCTATCGATCACTAGCACTTTTGTTTAGATCGTTGCGTTTTCTGGCGCCCTGGGCTTTGTTCGGTCTGGGCATCATATGTGTCATCCCGACTGAATTTAGGAACCTTCAACCCCCTGAATCCATTTCGAAGGTCTCGACCTGCGCTGTTAGTGGGCATCTGTCTCATAGGTGTGATTTCAACGGGAAAATTTGATATGAGGTTCCATATTCTCATACCCTGACAGTATCCAATTCTTACCCTGAAAATATTGGGAAGGGGGATTCAGGATGTCCAACTCGGAAGGTCCCGTGGTGTTTTTTCTCAAATATTCACAGCACCCGCCCCCCTTGACGGGTATAATATCACGACTTGCCGGGATCATGCCTCGAGGCCCGGCGCCATGTTCCGGTGTTGGTTCTCACAGCTTCTTCTCTTACAGACACCCAATTTGAGAATCGCGATTTAGCCGTTTGGTTAGTTTTTGTCCCCCCCCCGGTGTCCCACGGAAATAACTCTCCCACTCGTTCAGTAACGCATCGTCCTGATCCCGAGATCCAATCATCGTACTTACTTTTGGGCCAGACACTGTAATACGAAGGGGGCGGTGCTTTTATCCTAGAAGGTGAACCGCGTCTCACGGCCTGGAGTATTTACTCATTGGTTTAAAGGTCCATGCGGTTATTTCGATCCTTAGCCATGGCGCAAGAGATCTATTGTGGCGATATATTATGGGCGCAGTGCTGGAGCCCCAGGTCACAACAACCTAGCGACATAGGGCTAGTACTATCGTTGTGGGATCTCCCGTATATTATAATATTATATAATAATATTATTATTATCATAATAATACGGTATGAAGAACATCCAGGGAGGATCCTCAAGCCTATATTCAACCCCACACTTCGTCTCTATCATCTATCAAGAGGCAAAAAGAGGAAGAAAAAAAGGGAAGAAAGAGGGAAGAGAAGTATTCTCTCTTGCCGAAACCGTCCCGCATAGTAGGCGTGATGTCCTTTCTTCGGCCTCCCCCTTTCTTCCTCCATATTTGGTGTTCACGCCTAACCACACCTCGTGACAAACCACCGTGTACCAAACACTTCATCTCCCGACCCCACTCTTAAAGATCAACCTAGCGCAATCCCCCAACTCCTCAGGACCCATCGTATTCACACCGATAACCTCCAAATGCTCGTTCCCCAGGTGACAGAGGGACAAACACGCATGGCACCCCTACTCTTATAAAACAGCCCCGCACAAAACTTACACCCCCCAAAATCCTTTTTGCTGGACACTGCTGATAACATGAGTTACCATACATCCCTGGGGAATTGCCGACTCACGGTGCCCGCTTGCCCGCCCGCCCGTCTGTGGATACTCACAACTTTCAGAGTTCGGGGTTCCCAATGCCCCCATCGGATGTGAATATAAATGAAACCTGCGGGTACAAAGCATTCCCGGCCCAATCCCCCCCCCAAAAGCAAATGCCAAAGCGCGCGCCCAGACCAGGACAGAGTATGGCCGCACGCCTAAGTGTCAGGCCGCTAAAAAAAAAAACCCCCAACTCTATCAGTGTTTCCGGGCGTGCATATATACATATATATATAAGAGGAGGTGTGGGACTCAAATCCATTAATCTATCCACACAATTTACAATTAGACGCGCAAATCATCCTCACACGGTATATCTACCCCCAACCACGGCACCACCTCACCAACCATTAACACGAAAAAGGAAGAAAGGAAAGAAAGAAAAAGAGAAAAAAGCCCTCAAACGCCACACTTTTTTCATCATACAAAAAAAAACGAACACAAGAACGCCACATCAGATTGATCAATCGGAAAAAAAGAACAAAAAACCATTCATTCTATAAGATCAGATGCCTTCTCCCAAATCCCCGGAAGTGTGAAGCACTCACTCACTCACTCACTCACTAGGACACAATCAATCAATTTTTTCCGCAGTCCCCCATGCTATCATATATACATACCGGTATCTAACCAGCCATTCAGGGGTTTCCACAGGGTATAGGAGGGTATTATAGATAGGTGTTTTAGGTAAATGCCTCGAATCAACACCTTTTGTATGGGGATTTTCGCAAGTGTGTTCCCGCCGCTGCGATGAAATTTCCCTCCCTCCTATGACTTGGAACTCATAAGGAGGTGCTCACGAAAAAGAAAACGTAAAAAGTACCCGTGTTGGAGAGAGAGAGAGAGAGAGAGAGATGGTTAGCTAAGCGGGTACTCTCATCCAGAATCACACAAATATTCTTCAACACTCGAGTAATTTTGTTAGGACTAGCAACATTCCCGAGGAGGTTTGTGAGAGTGGAGTACCTTCTCAGCTGTAAGACTGGAGTGTTGATGCAGAACGACAAAGGACTGGGGGAGATTCATGTTGACACCATCAGTTATGCTGGTAAAGCTATGGATCAAGTTAGGGACTATATTAGACTCAGATTTTTTTGATGGTGGCAGTCGCACTTCCGGGAGTGCTCAGGCTCCCGGGGTCCAGCTGGATGTTGCTACCACAAGAGCTAGGAGGGAGATTGGGTCCAGAGTTAGGGATGTTGTTCTTGCGTTAGGTCACAATGTTACTCTTACAACTAATACCTACGAGGGTGCTTTGGAGGCTACAGTTACATATCAGGCATCAAATACGGGTGAGATTGCTATTTTGCGACGGACAGAGAGTGTTGGGCTGCGTCTGTCGTCTAGGGATCATAAAAGGATGAAATTACAAAGTGTCGATACTGGCAAAATTACTGTCCGCGCCTAGGTATTGGAGGTCATCCCATTCACGAGTGACAGGGAGAGAATGGGAATTGTTGTCCGATTTATGGCTGGTGAAACAAGAAACGGGCCAGATTTTCATGGTGGCTGTATGGAGGAGGAAATATCTAACTCTGGGGATATTGGGTTTTATCAGGAGGGGGTGGGTACCGTCATGACTTCGATTGTGCAGGTTAACGACTAATGGGATCAGGAGTGCAGTAGTATGGTTCGGGAGGAATTAGAAACCTGATTTATTGGAAGGAAGAAGGTGTCCATCTAGCGCGACCAGGAATTCTCCGGAAAACTCAAATCTGGGTCATTGTCGCTTGGTAATTGGGACAGGAGATGGGCAAGGTTGTGACGGAGAAGTCGTGATGGAGATGTTGTGACGGAGAATCTTTGAGCATGGCTTGGAGCTTTTGGGGGTGGTGGGTGTCAGGGGTAAGCTGCCGAGGGATGTTGAGCCAAGTTGGGAGCTTCTCTGGAATGTGGGGATCATGATTGGATGCTGACTGGTGATAAACTCGCAAAGTTGGTGTTGAAGGAACAATATGGTATACTAGTCATTGCCAAGTATATGCCTACTACTCTATTCTTTTTGCCTCCAGGCAATACTAACTCAGATGCTGTTACCTAGTGAAACCAAGAGACTGCACCCACGATGCCTTAGAATTCCTCTGCAATAAAGCAAGCTCCTGTCTCCTCATCAACAGCGAATCTCTCATGTTCTTCCTAGACACGAACAAATCCGAGTTCATAATTTTTACCGTACAACTCTCAGGAGTAATCGCCTACCATTGCACCCTCCCCCAAAAGTCCGACATAGCCCGGCTCATCCGTGCCTTAATTAGGAAACACATATGCTTCATCTGCGACAGTGAGAATGACGTCTCCATGGTCCGGGCTGCTTGTTGGGTATGGCAATACTATACTATGGTACCGGTATTCTCGCCGGTATTGGATGCTGATGTAGACGAGCCTCAGGCGAATCTTTATCCTTATCCTGATCTTTATAAGAAACTTACCGAAGGGTATTCGCTGAATTATCTGGCGTTTTTTGTTAGGGTGCTTTTGTTAGCATTCACCAAAGTCTATCTTTCCCTCCGATAATTATGCCTGACTGCCTGAGCGCTGATAAAAGCACAGAGGAGAGGAGAGATAATCCAAAACCTCTCCCAAATACTCGTGGGCCTCGACCATTTTAATCGCATCATATCTGTGAGTTTAACAGTTCTGATATTAAATGGGCATATAATGGCGGCCCTAGAAATCACAACTTGGAAGTTCCCACCTGCTCCCCCACCCTCCCTTTCCCATTCCCCTTTCCCTTTTAGCTAACACTGAGAACAGGCACATGTGAATGATATTCACAGAATTAGGCACAGCCTTGTTCTTTGCTTCAATCTTCATGCTGGGTGAGTACTTTGGTCTCGGGTACGTCATTTCATGAGCCTTCTTATTGCCCGTCGTGGCCATCGGCGAGGTCAGCCTTGTGCCGCTCTGGTTCATGGGAATAGTTAGGAGGAGGTTGGGACAGCCAGCTATACTAATGCTTAGGGAGTTTGATTCTGAGTTGTAGTTGCATTGGTTGGGCATTCTGTCTTGTTTTGTTTTGATTCTTGTCCTGGTAGTGTATCATTTCATTTCATTGCAATTTACCATAGAACACACCGCGAATGTTGTAAAAGATAACTTGGGACTCCGGAGCAAAATAATAACCACGATCGCCGTACTCACAGATTATCACTCGGCGGAAACGAAACGCTAAGGCACTAGGCATCGTTCAAAAGAGGGGTATGAAAATTTTCCCCGCTTGTGCACTCTCTCACCTAAATACACTCTTGCTCAATCTCAGGTTCTAGCCAACTCTCTATTTTATCGCGCTCAACTAACTGAAATAACAGGAAAGCACAGCAGTATAAATAAATGACAAAAGCTGATCTCTTACTTGCTCCACCATTTTCACTCGTCCACGCAAGTCCCCATTCCTCCGCAGATTCCCATGATAACAGAAAGAAAAATAAACAGGACAAATACTACAACTCCCACGCCCGTATACCTCCCGCTCCCATACACGCCATACCCCTCCCCCCCCTAGTACCCGCACCGCTCCCGTGCCCATACACAGAACGACATCAACAGACACCGGAGGGGAGAACACCGAACAGGGAACCACTGAAAGGCAAAACGACGAACGGCGAGCGACGGCAAACAACAGCGAGCAGACGAACAAAGACAATGATAACGGCAAATATCCGAACGGACAGAGGATAACGGGCGGCGGACAATGGACAGATGGATGGGGTGATGGATGGGAAAGCATGCCGAGCATGCTTGGAGCATATCGTGCATGTTGCAAACATGCTCGATAGGTTCTAGGCATGTTGGGTGTTGTTTGAGCATGCTGAGCAGTACTCGGGGGTTCTATACACTTCGAACATGTTGTTATTCTCTCCGACCTCTCACCAATGTAGACAGTATTTCTCTATCTCCCCCTCCTAAATGTCATTGAGGTATGAAAACAGAGAGGGAAGCCAAGGTGGAGGAGGACTTTGTATATATTCGGGAATGGCCGAAAACGCTAGCACAGGCCCGCAATGGAAAACGACTTAAAAAATAAGTATATCCGCAGTTCCACCCCAACTGCATGGACACTCTGCGTTTTCTTTACTATCCTAGTCGTCTTCTCTTAATTTGCACCCAGGTTTCTCGCTCCACCCACTGCCCAGCTGCTCTAACAAGCTTCACTGCCTGAGTATATGATCTCATCTTCTCGGTTTGTGGCAGTGAAGTTCCGACGAATTTTTCAAGCTCCTTTAAACTAAACATAATCTTATTTTTAGGGTCATGGCCCATTGGAACATTGTCTCCTAAGAGATCCCCCAATTCTACCCCAAATCCAGATCTTTCTTCTTTCTCCAAGTTCCCTTCTGGTGGTTCCAAGTCCGCTTCCGGTGGCGGTAGTAGGGTGGCCGTAAACGATTCCTTAATCTCTTTCCCGTCCTCGCACACTCTGTAAACGTGCACTGTGGCTCCAAGGGTGCCAACCAAGGGCTCCTTCAAATTCCCCTGGCAGTTCAAGTCCAGTAATCTTGCGGCTAGGGCGTGGTATCCAGTGGTTTCATCGATACTCTCCACGACCATCTGTTCCTCACTTAAGGCCACCGGTTCCTCAGCATCTTTCTCACCACCACCCCCCAGCTCGTCATCCTCTACCCCCATCACGGTCTTCCCTTCTCTGACCTCCGGTATATCTTTCCCTACTTCCGGCCCGTTGTTCCCCACCTCTGGTAAACTCCCGGCATAGCTTTCTGTGAATGAAACTAAAATCACAGCCCTTGTCTGCCCGGAGGTATGTAACAACCATAACCGTGCATCATCCAACAAGGCTTCAAACTTTTCGCTCCATCCAGCCTCGCATACGACTGTTGGAAAATCTGCGCCAGGCAACATAGCGTAGGTATCTGGAATCTTCACTGATTTCCCACAAAAATCTCCGCTGAAAGCTGTAAAGCCTAGATACCATTAGATATATAATAATAAGAAGAGTGATTAGATAACATACTCATTCCGGAACTAACCCTTACTAAACCTCTTGCCTCCTTTGCCCCAAACCGCTCAAACAGGGATCCAAGAATGCTCTCAGTGAAAAACTGGGCCAGTGCCTCATGGGTGGGGAGAGGGGAACATTTAATAATAAACGATTGATTGAGGAAGTTGTATCTTCTTGTTTTCCATTAATCCGGGATGCTTCCCCTCCCATTTGCTCACTTCCTCCATGGAAATTCCATTCAAGTTTAGCTGGCCCTCAAATGTATCTTAAAGCCTAAAGATTTCTTCCAGGCTTAGGACACTCAAAGGGCGTGATTGCCCCACCAAACACCCGGGATACCCCAAGGACCGGGTCAGTTCAGAGAGTTTATTATCGTCCATGGGTTCTTTTGCTTGGTGATGGATTGGGATAGGAGGAGATTTTGGGATAGATAGTTTTGGAGGTGGAGGTTTAGTTTCAGGGGTGGGTCGCTTCCCAAGCAATTTCGGTGGAACACTCTGGCTGATTGCAGAAGCATGACGGGTTCTGTAAATAGACCTGGATAATGAGAACAGTGTTCCCAAGTGTCCAGTCTGTCCGTCCTTGGCTTCGGACGGGACGGACACCGGTTTCTGGAACTCTGCCCTGGACGGACGCCTATCCTGTGGTCTGTCCTAACCACTACCCAGACGGCCGGCCGGGCCCTATAGGTGTCTCACCTGCAAATGGCCCTGCGGATGAGAGCCGGGCCCTACAAATGACGGCCGGGCCCTGCGAATGACGGCTGGTCCCCGGTGAGGACGGCCGGAAGATGCCATTTGTATTAAGACTCCCGGGCCCGGGCGTTAACCCCTCGGATGGCGGTCTTTATCAAAGACAGACGCCATGCCCTGCCGTCCTTACCCACCCTGCCCGGGATGCCCGGGACTGCAAGCCCGCCAGGGCCCTGTAGGGCGCCCGGGATGGTTGGGAACACTGAATGAGAAGCTAGTGCCATCACCAACCACCCCAACCCCCCCCCTTGTATGTCGTAATCACCACCTAATATACTCATTCTGTATTCTTAGAGACTCAGGAGTGAAAATAGAATCAGAATGAGTGGTGAGAAAAGAAAGGGGTAAATAATAATAGAGCAAAGTTGGTAGCGCCGGAGAAATTTGTGGGGTAAGACGAGAGACAAGGAAAAGGAGAAATTGTGGGGAGAGACGAGGGACGGGGGGAGTGAGGAGAGCGGGGTGGAAGACTATTACATATAGAAAGACACGTATATGACCACAATAGAACTCATATTACACTACGACTATCAGCTATGACGAAAATATCTATATCATATCTTATCTGACAACCGTTTTGGGAAAAGTCTATCCTCGTTGAAAGCTAGTCGCGAGAAGGAGATCAGTTAAATTGGTCTTAAGCAACGTAATACTTCAATGAGGGAGATTGTCATTTATTACCGGGAGTGAAAAAGCAGGGGTCCGGAAATCTTCTCTGTGGTTCCACCTTGCGAGAAGCGCCAAACCAACTAGTGGTTTTTCCCTCTTCCCCCTGTTCTCCGTCTTTCTACTTCACCCCCTCTCACACAGGAAAACCCCTACCCGCCTGGCAAGCTCTTCAAACTGGTATCAACTCCAGCTTAATCTCTACCTTTAGGTCCTAGCTAATCTATGTCTTTAGGTTCTGGCACCTCTTTGTCTTCACCATCAGCAGTTCCGGCAGCGGCACTTTCGGGGTTGGGATTATCCATTAATAATACTGCGTCTTGGCCAGCAATTCGATCACTCTGGCTACTCCCGTTTACGCTGGCTCGGAGACGTGAGTGGTTTTGTCTATATCTCACTCCTGTAATAACACTGGACAGCTGGAAAAGGAGATCAATGACTTGACAAATTCTTTGCCTTTCTGATATTTTCATTCAGTATAGCTTTGGTAACAGCATTTTTGATTGAGAATAGCTAAAACAAGCCAGGTGCTATAGACCCCGAAAGTCCTCACGAAATCATAAGCAGAAGCTGGTGGTACATCAAAAACCCCAGCTTCTCAGTGCTCTTCTCGACTATTATTCCAATCAGCTTGACGGTCAACTTGGACATGGGCAAGAGCGCGTGCGCGTGGTTTATTGAACATGACAAGGGAATTAAGGATACTGTACTTTTATTTTGTCATGATCTGCCTCTTTTTTTTTTTCTCTCTTTTGCAAGTTTTCAAACCACAACCTGAAACTTTACGTAATTCGTACCCAGCCCAGAGATCCATTGTGCTATAGTTTAGCCAAAAAAAACCCCCATTTTTATTAGACAATCACAAACCATCACTCGCAATGACCATCCCTACCAGATCTGATATAATGCTGTACTGTACCGTAAGAACCGGAATAACTTAGTCGGGGACACCACGACAACGTCCAGACCCCCCTCTCTCTCCCCCTTCAACGCCTCAACCGAGACAATGGACCATACTAGGGCAGGCAGGGGGCCAGTTCTTACAGTATCGTACATAATTATAATACCCCCCACCCCGATCACATCAAAGTGCCACACAAATACCCAACAGCAACCGCACTTGGCCAAAGTGAACGGCAAAGAAAAGAAAAAATAAAGAGAGAGAGAGAGAGAGGGAAAACCAGGCGTCCGGTATTGGACCCTTTCCTCCTCTCTCCATACGAGGAAAATAGCTAGTTGAGCTAACGTTCTGTCGTACGGAGGGTCGACCCTGGCGCGTGGAACACGTTATCATGTTTTCATACTACCTAGCGCCGCGTTCGTACTAGGCTTAGGCGCTGTGGGTGGGGGTGGCGGGGCGGGAGAGGTTCGGTGCCTGCTACGCAGCGCTGTACTGTAGTCCTGGGGAAAAAGTGGTAGACTGAGGGGCAGTTTTCGTCTCCCAGTCGTAATGTACAGCATCGCGATGCTAGCGGGTTACGTCTACGGTGTGATATGGTATGATAGAAACTAGAGTAGCTCGAGCTATGGGTATATTTACCTAGCCCAACCCGATCAACAGCTAATAGGAATAAAAAAGAAGAATCCAACCAGACTCTACAAGGACTAACGCATCTATACAGTACATCGCGTCGCACCGACTTTACCCAATATATCTAGTCCTGACCCCCCCTTTTCCCTCCCGCATCAAAACCACAAAACCAAAGCAAAAAAAAGAAAAAAAGAAAAAGAGGAACCGCACATTTAAATTTCCTATCGTACACCCCCCAGCAGCGTCCCTAATGTGGCACACCCCACTGTCCAAACCCTTCCCCTCCCATACCCTGTATCGGACCACCATCGCCACCACCATCACCACCCATTCCCTCCCCATTGTTTTGCCCTTGCCCTTGTTGTCCCTGCTGTTGCTGCCTCCTGGCAATCTGCTGCTGCCGCTGCTGCCGATAATACACCAATATCGCTACAGCCGCCGCAAGAGCAAGTATAATCACACTCTCGACCAAATCACCCTCATACTCCGCGTCGTAGTACTCTTCGCCAGGAATTTCCCCGCCCGTCGCTGTCGCGGCGTAAATATCGTCCGGATCCGCATATTCGTCTGGCGTAGCTTCGTACCATTGCTTGAAGAATTCTCGGAGGGTGAGGGATTTTTTTGGTTTTGGGTCTGTTGCACAATAAGTCACTGCTGGGGGGACTGGAAGGGAGTTAATACCTGGGTCGGCGCCAATGGCATTAATATTGCCGCCGGTGATGGTATTCCAAAAACTACGCAGGCGGAGTTTGAAGAGACTCAGAGTTACTGGGAGGTATGCTTCTTGGTTCGTCTCTAGAGCAAGATCGTAGTAGCGCTTTGCTAGGTGAAAGTCTTGCTCTACGCCTATACCATTCTCGTGCATCCAACCGAGATTCCAGAGCGCTTGTGCGGAAGCTTGGAGTTCACTGGCGGCGGTGTAGCAACTTGCAGCCTTCGCTGCATCCTGCTCCGTGCCGACACCGCTAAGGTAGTAGTCTCCCATCTTGACCAGGGAATCGGTATTGGACTGCTTGGCGGATCGGGTCCAGTATATGAGAGCCAATTCTTGATCCATTGGGTCCCTGGACTTGGGGTTGAGAAGGGACTTCAGGTCCAGCTTCGACTTTTCCTGGTCAAGCAGGAATGCGACGTTTGCCTGTCCGGCTTCGTAACCTTGCTCAGCAGCCATCATGTACCCGATTACAGCACTCTCCTTATCCCCACTAGCATACGCCTCATTCGCCCAGGCCAACGGACTGTGAAGTGGTTCGACCCTTTCCGTAACAATCTTGTAGTAGGCCGTCGCCAGTGCACAGGAACGCTCTTTCCCGAGCCCAGAGTTGTAAATCTCCGCGAGGAAGTAATAAGCCTCGAGGGTTCCATGACGTGCTGCGAGTTCGAAGAAGCGCTTGGCAGTCTCGATGTCATTCTGCTCCAGGAAGATCTTGCCCAAATTGATCTGACCCTGAGGTAGGTCTTGTTCGGTAGCGATCTGGAAGAATTCGGCTGCCTTCAGACGATTCACTTTAACACCATATCCACGAAGGTACATGAATCCGAGGCCGTTTTGCGAACTTGCGTCCCCCTATACCTCAATTAGCCCCAGGCATGTAATGAAACCCCTCACAAGAGCCCAACATTCTCAATTCCAAGCTCAAACCACTTTACCGCTTGAGCGTAGTTTTTGGCAACCCCTTCGCCCCTCAAATGCATTTTCCCAAGATATCCCGCGGCCCTACCAGCGAGCTTCTCCAGGCCCGGAGGTCCCCCGGATATAGGCTTCCCCTCCTTAGACCAATATTGCCTAGCAACATTAACAAAATAGGTCTTAGCCTTTCCAAGGTCCCTAGGGAGATTCCTAGACCCTTCATAATAGAGTTTTGCAAGACTAAATGTAGCGGATAGGTCTCCCTTACGGGCCAGAAGGTCCAAGTATTCTAGGATATCATCCAGGTCCTTGGCAGAGTCAGTCGTGGTTCCACGTCGCATAGCATTCATCCCGGACGACACCACCGAGGCACCCTCCCCGTATACACCGCCCTCGTCGTCCGCGAGCCTATAGCTATGCTTGATCAACGCATGGCCCCCGGGCGGGCCGGAGCGCCAATACTCCATCGCTTTGTCAGCAACTCTTTTGTAGTAGAAAGCGGCCTCTTCGCATCGCCGGGGGGTGCCGATCCCGGTATGATGTCGAAACGCGGCGGTCATCTCGGACCGAGTCTCGCCGTTGAGCGCTGCAAAGGTATGATAAAGTAAGGCCTGCAACGCTGTCAACACTGCAACCTCGCCCAGTCTCCAAGTTCCCCCTAGAAAACCAACCTTTGACTGATCCCTCTCCACAGCGCCCCCGACGCCCGTAGCGTACATGAATCCAACCATGCTCTGCGCTGTCGAATTCCCCGTGAGGTCCGCTAGTTGCTTATACTTCTCAAAGGCCACAGGGTAATTCCTAGGGTACGACCAATTCCCATACTGTTCCCCCCCCCCATAAATTAGCCCACTCACACGGCACCCCCGAGAAATGGCTTAACGGGGGGAAGCGAGGGGACCCACAAAATTCATCTGCGCCAGCAAATAAATCGCATCAGGGCTCCTCAACACCCTCCCAGCGGTCTCAAGTTTCTCCACCGCTGCCGCCAACTTCTTCCCCAAAACCATGACCTTCCTCCCACCATCCACCGGCTCCTCCAGTGTCGATGGAGTATACAATAATAAAACCCTGGCCGCTCGCTTAACGCAACTCGCGATTAATCCCAACAAACCATCCGGCCCTTCCCCCTCCACCTGCCCTCTTCCTCCCCCGCCCTCCCGCATAGTAGACCGCGAGGACCGCGAGGGGTTCGGATCAAGGGTCCGCAGGATGGCGAGCGCATCGTTTACCAGGGCCGCCGCGGTTTGTTTCGAGGGCTCATTAGCATCGTCACTATCGCCACCGACGGCGGTGCCATCGTCGGGGGGTTTTGCATTGAGTCGATCGCCCAGTAATCGTCCTGGGGAGTTCCGTTGTTGGCTTTGTAAAACTATCGACGATTCCGGGTCCCCTCGTGCTTTAGGCAATGACGCTGAACTTCCCACTGCTGCTGCGACGTTTCCGGCGAGCAGGGACAGAGCCCCCCCGAGGGTGACTAGATGGTCAAGCTTCATAGTAGCAAACCAGGGGCCGGGATCCTCCCTTCAAAGGGGGAAGAGACAGAACTAAAGGGAAATAAATAGAGTAGCGGCAAGGGAAAAGGAAAGAAACAGGAAGAACCCCTAGAGAAGTCAATCTCTCTATCGAGATGACGGTATCGAGATCATGAACGGTATTGCTTTGGTCGGTTGGAGCGTGGGGTAGAGGGTAAGGGGGGGGGGGGGAAGGGAGGTGCAAAAAAAAAAAAAATGGTCGAGTTGAGTTGAGGGTTACGTGGAAGATAATACAAGTAGTGTTGTCGTGTCTTGCATCACGGAGTAAATCTAGGGATGGATGGAGAACGAAAACCGGGTCGCGGGATGATGAGATTCGCGAGAGCCTTTTTCCGTCTTTCTTCCTCCGTCTACTCCAGATATCGAACAACTAAATCGCTCCTAATTAATCGTTGGTATTTACCCTTGCGGATGCAATTCTGGTCATATCGGGGGGTTTTTTTTAACATGGCATCTCTTATTGCGCTATCTCCTTGCGAGAATAAGCACCCGGATATGATACCCTCAAGACAGCGCTGGCAAGTCTGAGATATCAACGGAAGGGGATATATCCATAATCCGAGGTCATATATTGGTCTGCAGCGTATTAACCGCCCAGGAACCTGTTTCTCGAACTCCCGAGGCCTCTTGAGGGGCGATGGACTTTGCTGTCAAAGTGGCTTCTTTGGTTATTGATTGCATCGTCCTCAGGCGTCTGGCTTCCCAAGCACACTGCCGGTACAATACAGCACACAACCGTACTTTTTACAGGAGTAGTCTACGCGCCACCGCATTTGCTATCTGTGAGAATCCGTCCCTGACACGGGTATCTGTCAAAACGTGGCCTTTTTTTTTTTTTTTGCTGCGTTGACAATGCATGCTGGGAAAGCACAGTAATTACCGTAAATACGAGCCCGGTCGTGCCCCTCAGGTCTTCATACTCACGCATTACCAACAAGTCCAATAGTTTGCAAATAAAACGAGGAAAACTGCCCCTTGGGAGCACCCTACAGTATCATAGCTTGGGTAGAATAAAACGAAGCAGAAAATTATGTCATCGAGGTGAGTGCCCTGCCCCGAAGGGTGAGCTACCAGTTTGTAACTTATAAACCATTCCTTGAGCTGAACGAAACAGTAAAACCCGCGAGTATGCACGCCAAGTCCGAATCAGCCGGAAGCCAGCTATCTCAGGTCGTGGATCCGATTTTTCAATGTTTAGGTGACTTAGCATCTGAGCTGAGCGACCATGAATTGTCAACGGCTCAGCATACTCTTAGTGCCTGTTTGGATGTCCAGAGATTGAGATTTGTGAGATTGGTAATCCATGGATTACCGAACAGTGAACCAGAGATCAGACATCTACCGGCCTCTATTTAGCAGCCAATAAAAAAAAACATCACTGGCGGAAACCCAAGTTGATGGAAGGCCCAAGGTTGGAAGGGCAAGGCTGGAAAGGCCGGAAGGGCAAGGTTGGAAAGGCTGGAAGGCTAAGGTTGATAAGTTGAATGCAACCGAAAGCTTAAATTCTGGTGAAAGAAGGGGTGTTGCACCGCTTCAGTGCAATCTCTGGAATTTTTATCTCAGTACGGTATTGTGATTTTCAGAGATTGCCAAGAAACTCCAGTTTTGCGTTGCAACCGCCAAGAATCGGTGAAATATCATAACATCCAAACAGGCCCTTACCAGAATGCTCCCTAAATAGGATTAGCGCGCCTGGGTGTGAACCCCACCACCGCAGACTCTCAACGGGTATCGATTTTTGGTGAAACCTGGGGAACCCATTACAATAGCAGGAGCCCAATAGGTGTCAACACCAGAACCTGAGGCATTGTACGGATATATCCACACTATTTCAGGTTCCATTGCCCAAAATAAAAAAACACTAAACAGCATCATACTCGTAGATAAGTAATTAATAGATTTATTTATTTCTCAGTGATTGTAATTCTCGGGCTAGTATGATACTCTGCAATTATATCGTAAACAACAATAAATTTTGGCAAGGTCTTGCAACATCTCATGAAATTAACCTTATTATGCCCTACAATTGAATCTATTTCGCGATTGAATTTGTTTGCGGCATTACCGGTACGTCAAATCGCCAATGGGTATGAAGGCTTTCTAGACATGCCTGTAGACTACCCACCACATTACCAGTAGTTAGAGCACAGTACCGCTACTGGACGCAGGAACTACCCTTTGCGCTCAAGCCGGAGGAAAGCAAACTCAAGGCTCGGTAAAAAAGGGATAAGCTATACGCGTGCGGTGCAGTAGCTCACAGCCCTGCTCTGGTCCGGCACGGGTACCAGCGTCGACATTCCCCTAATTCACTAGACGGCATAGCTAAGGCCACTCCGGTGAGGTGCCGAAGGGAGCACCCTCCTTTGGCGATCGCCACGGCACCGGCATAGAGGGGTCTTTAGACACGGGGCAGGGCGGCCTGTTGCCATCAACGCAACCGGTCGTAAAGCACAGTATCCTGGGCCGTATACAGGTCCCACAGAGACCATATCATACTTGTGCCACCTTGGTCGAATATAGTAACGGTAGATTACGACCAAAATACCACAGGCCGCTTGCGGGACGCGTACTCGTACTGTGCGAGCACAGTAGGCACTGATGCATTCAACTTACCATAACACACCCCCAATGTAGGCAATGCAGTCCACCCAACAGTCTCGCCCAGTGAATCAATACGCCTTGAATCTCTTCTTCTCCCTCTTCCCCTCCCCCTTCCTCGCCCTCTTCTCCTTCTTCCCTTCGGACAAGCCCTCCCCTCTGCTCGTCTCCTCCTTCCAGACCCTCACAAGCCCATCCTCACCACTAGTGAAGACCGTCTCGGACTACCACCCATCAGCACCCTTCCCCCTTCTCCTCCTTCACTAACCAGGGTGTGGAAGGGAGGAAGAGGGCAAACTTACATCATCATCAACCCAGACCCCCCTGCAAACCTCCTCGCCATGCCCCCCTTGCAGCCTAACCTTATCCTCGCCTGCAAACCCCCAATGGCTACCAGCCCACCTCAGTGGGACGAGGTCGATCCGCTGCTTCCCAACCTCCTTATTCCCAGCGACAATAATTCCCCCGGTACCAGTACCACTAAGACGTAATACGTCGACCACATATTCACAATCCAACCTCTTCCTAACATCCCCGACATCCCCGGCGACCTCCCCCGCGGCGTCCTCTTCTCTGCCGGGTGTATGATTAAAAGACCTAAGAACGAGACTTTCATCGGTCGATACCCCAAAAACCCACTCCCCTTTCCCAGCAGCACCGCCACCGCCGCCGGCGTTCAAAAACCCCGCCCGATGAACCGATGAACCAATATTAACCACCTGCCAAAGCGCCTTCTCATCATCATCCCTCCCTTCCGCCCCCTCCCCAGCCAGCAAATCAAAAACACTGACCAGTCCATCCATCCCTCCACTAACTCCCCACCTCCCCCCCTCTTCCCCTCCCGCGAACCCCACAAACGAGACGTCATCCCCATGACTCTCCGTAAACACCCACGTCGGCTTCTCCCCCGCCATCCTCCCGTCCCAAACACAAACCCTCGAAACCCGATCCCGCATCTCGGTTCCCGCGATGATCCTGCCCTGCGCGTCCGCGGAAGTGCATAGTACTGGTGCGCCCACGTTTATCTTGCTCGCTTCCGCGGCGGGAGGGGAGCAGCGGAGATCCCAGAGTTTTAGGAGCCCGTCCGTGCCCGAGGTTAGCAGGGTTTGTGGTGATGCGGGGTAGGCGCTGAGTGAGGTTATGTTTGTGTGCGCATGCGGGATGGTGGTTGTTGGTGTTAGGGTGGATCTGGAGAAGGTTACTAGAGAGGAGGAGGAAGAGGTTGAGGCGGCGAGGTGCGTTGCAGAGAGTGGGGCTAGGGTGTAGATGTAGGTTCCAGGTGGGGTGGAGAGGTCGCCGGCACTGGTTTGGTGGAAGGTGCGCGGGGGCATGGTCCGTCCGTATTGGTGGTGATGGTGGCAGTGGTGATGGTGAATGGCAAGAAGTGAAGGAGAAAAAATGTTTCAAACGCTCGACCACAAATAGAGATACCCCCTGTTACCGGTACGAGTAGTCTGGGATTGACACCGAAACCGCGTGCTCGGAGCAACACCAACAAACCAGCGGCAACCCATCATTTCGTCCAAACCACTTCCTCTCTCTCCACATAACTTATATATCAATCTAGTGCTGTATATAGTCTAGCCGGATTCCTACAACAACCGCACTTAGCCCCATTCCGCCTAACGCCCCCGAAACCGGAGTGGTCCAGCATTGGCCTTCCATCCCGCAGCCCGCGGCACAAAAACTCACTCGGCTCCAACCCCCCCTACTAAGCAAGCTAGTATCATAATATTATCATAACCTAGACACCGGCGTCGACAAAGTGGGGTGCAGTGCAAATCGCCCGTCTGCACACTTGGCCAACATTCACGCACGCATAGCACCCAGCACTACAGGCGTATATACAATATAATACACGGTCCGAGTCGCGCAGACGGGGCCGACGGAGCAGAGACGAGTATAATACTGTACTGTAGATTGAGCGAGAACGCCTCCTTTTCCTCCCATCCACCGCGAACCGCCACGGCCACCCCCACTATAATAATCGTATAGAGAATAAAGGGAAAAGAAAAAAGAAAAAAGAACATCCAAGAAGGACCACCTAACCAAAAACCCCAACAAATATAGTGCGTTGCAATGTACTTGTATCTCTCCGGAGTGGCCTCGATGGCCAAGCGAACGAGCGAAAACCTAGAGCTCTTCATTCATTCGCACCCCCCTCCCCCAACGTCGCAGGCCTACTACTATCCATTCCAGTTCCTCCCCCAGCAGAAAAAAAAACCCACCAGGACCCGCGATCTTGGGCACGCCATCCGGAATCGAGGTGATCAGTCCCCGACCCCCCTTCAACCCCTCCGACAACGGGAAGACCAGCACAAGAGTACATATTCACTAGTGGCCTTCAAGGGCAGAGATATTGCCCCGAACAGGACATCAGCGATTTTATGCCCCCCCACGCACCACGATGGGGAACAAGACACCGTAGCCGATTTCTCAGACCTTAAGCCCTACAAATGCGCTCCCTGTGGGGTGGGATGTAAACGCCAGACGGATCTTGATCGACACTTCAGGACAAGTAGAGCCCATAGCATGCCGAAGGGGCCGGCTTGTCCAGTGGGGGGCTGCAAATGTGTCGATAAATTCACCAGGCCTGATAACTTCAAGGCACATTATAAGAAGCAGCGTGGAAAGAGCGATGGTGAGGCTGATAAGTATATCAGCATCTGGAGGAAGAATGGCTGTCCCTAGTACGGCGGGTCAAATGTAGGACAGGGGCAAAAAAAAAACTCTCGCAAGTGGCAACGGGAACCATGCCAAGTGCTAAGGCCGGGTAACCCCAATCCCAGGTATATTTGTGTGTAAAATAAATAAATAAAAATAAATAAATATAAGTAAATGAATATAAATAAATATAAATAAATATAAATAAATAAAAATAAATAATCCTAACACCTCACTTAGTGTAACCAGTATGGGTACCTGACTATGTTTTATATATTATCTCAAGTGTTCTTTAATGCTTAGCTTGTTTTGTATATGATATTGTTTTAAGTATTATTTAATACTTGGTTTGTTTATACTTGCCCAGTGGAAGTATGGTTCAAGCAATCCAAAACGTGTACCAGGCTGAAAATAAAGTGTTACATGTGGCTGTGCACGGAAAATGCCAAGGCTAATGTCTTGGCAGAAAATATTAGAAATATAGGGTTTGAAATAGAGGGTTTTTCTTGTAAGAAATACTTTTAAGATAATAATAATATTATTATAATGAATAAAAGCAATCATAGAAGATAGGAGTTCAGAAGGACTTAGAATAAATGATAGAGATTTCCTCCTTATCATACATCAGCTATTGTAGATCTGAGACATGTCTATAGCTTTTGTATTTATGCTTAACAGATGCATTAAACTCAGATGTTCTATAAGATATTCCTTCAAGTTGGTAATAGGAGTCTATAATCCAGTCTGCTTGCTGAGCACATTTCCAAATTAGACCATCTGAATTAGAATCTAAAGCTTGTAGTATAAGAGATTGCAAGCTCTTAATTGAATATCCACAGTAGCTATGAGTATACCACTTGGCTGTACTCCATAGATACTCTATAAAGTTTATTTTACAATGAAACTTTAGATAAATGAGTATCATACCTCTGTAACAAAATATACAAAGTCATTGTTGAGTTATAATTATTTCTAGGATATAGGGTTCAATGGAGTTTGAAGTTTAAAATTAAGGGTTATATTAGAAAAACCCAACCCCTATTCAATAAACTCAGTTTTACTAAGCAGATCAAGTGTGGCTGCTGTAATACCTTTTGTACTCTTACACCAAAAATACAACATTTTAAATCCCTAAGACTTTATCAAAATAAGTCAAAATGTGAAAAAAAAACCTGTTTATTATTCTTCTTTATTTTGTCTTTCAGAAACAGGTTTTTTTTCTTGATATGCACTTATTCTTATGAAGCCTTAGGGATTTGAAATTGATGAAAAATCTGGTACACGTTTTGGATTGCTTGAACCATACTATATAGATTTAAATACTACCAAAGTCTGATCTAGGAACAGCAGACTTCAACTAATAGTATTTAGAATATACTTGGTTGAACAGCTACTTCTTTATTATAAGTTTAAAGATTCTATCTTGTTTACAACTGCCTCAAAGCCTCTATTAGGTACTCTACTTAGTTACAACTCTGGTATAGTACAGAGGGATGTCAGTAAGAGAGGTGAATGTTAGGTGGTAGCAGACTCAAAGAAGATTGAAACTAACTAGAGCCTAATAATTGATAGCAGAGATATATCTATGAATGCTCATAAGCCTGAGGTAAAGATACTCGGTTCACTAAAACTACTAAGAGTGTAAAACTTGGATGCGTGATCGATTATAAAATATAATATGTGATACGAAGTGAACATAGCGCGGAGGGATGATGGTGTGGGTGCAAGATGGAATGGTGGGGTAGGGGCAGGGAGCTGGGGTGGAGAAGAGCGGGTTCGTAATTGTTAGTGAGAGGCGGGTCGATACCATATATCCTTGACTCGACGGTGAGAATGCGAAGGGGTTGGCAAATTGGGTTCTCGAAACGAGGAGTGGGTTGGAAAGGGGAAAGATTTTGAGGATTCGTGGAGGGAGGCATTCAGCCTAGATCAGGTTATTGGGGGAGGGGGCTTTCAAGGAGCTGTATAGTGTTTTTTTTTTCATTTTTTATTTTCAGCTGCTACAAATAAGAAAGTGTTAATAACGAGGAAGAAAGCAAGCAAGCATGAAAGAGATGTCCCTCCTCTACAAGCAATAATACCCACTATACCAATCCATTATACCACGCACACTTCTCACCTCTAGACAATCCAATTCAATCTAATGTATCAATCACTATCGTCGACAAAGGTTTCCTAAGCCCTCACGAACGCTACGAGAACATCCCCCCATCAGCATGGCAAATCAGGCCAGAAAACAAGAGCAAGAGGAAAGAAGAGGGGTGGGTGAACTTACTGGCATCAATCTGCTTAATCCTCGGCAAAGCTAGCTTGATCTTGATCCTATACCCCGTAGCTGCCTCCAACATGAGCGGGTTCCCCTCAAAGTAGACAGTGACCAATTCTTCCAACCCGCCCAGCTCCTGCTCGATCTCCTCGAACGAGGCGAGCTTGTTATTGCTTGCCCATAGCTCCTCGAGGTGCGACAGGTGCGCGAGATTGGCGAGTTGGGCGATCTGGTTATTCGAGATGTCCAGGACGCGCAGATTTTTGTTGGCCTCGAGCCCCGTGATGGTGGTCAGGGCGTTGTGGCTGATATAGAGCTCTTCGAGAGAGGTTAGCTCGTTCAGGCCAGTGATGCTGGTTAGGCGATTGGATTGGATTGAAAGGATCCTGAGGCTTTTTAAAGTAGACAAGTTCTATCGTAGGAGAGAGGGGTGAGTTAAGCCATATCCGTCGGGGGGGGGGGGTCAAAACCTTTAGCTCGGTGATTTTATTCTTCCCCAACCAGAGTTCTTGCAAAGCCGTCAAGTGCCCGATATTCTCAATCTCCTACAACAAACGCGGCCCCCTCCCCCCGGTTAGTCATCTTTTCTCTTCCACCCTCCCTCAAGTCGAAAAAAAAAACATACCCGAATCCGATTGGCCCCCAACTCCAAGTTCTGCAAAACCTCCAGCCCCTCCAGCCCCTCAATCCTGGAAATCCTGTTCTGCACAAAGTACAAATTCTTCAGCCTGGCGAGATGGGAAATGCGCTTGATGTGCTTCAGATTGTTAAAGCTCAGGTCGAGATTCTCTAGATTTGCCAGGTCCTCCAGGCCATGTATGTGCGCGATGTGGTTGTCATAGAGGTCTAGGTCAACGAGGGTTCGCGCGAGCGGGGAGAGGCATTCGATGTCCGTGATGTTGTTTTGGCGGAGACAGAGTTTCTGCACTTGCATGAAGCGCTCGAGCTTGAGGGCGCGGATGGAGGAGATGCGCAGGTGGACTAGTTCGATGTCCTAATTGTCGATTGGGCGGGTTAGGCCCAAGAAAGCAAATAAATAGGGGGGGGGGGTGTGGAAGGAAACAATACTACCCACCTCAACGTCAAGAGGATAATCATCAAGTAGATCTGTATCTCACGTCTTAGCTCTCCCCCCTTCTCTACTTTACCATACATAGCAAACCGGGGAGATTAAGAAGGAGAGAAAGAAAAAGGAAATACCTTCATCCTCATCGATAACCTCCACCGAAGGATCTTCAATAACCCTTCCATTAGGCACAGCTGTATTAGCACCGCCCTCACCCTCCTCCTCAGCCTCTACCTCGGCTTCGCTATCGCCAACGGGTGCGTTCTGATGGTCATCCTCCGTTGCTCTATTATTCGCTGATCTCGTGCTCTCATCCGTCATAACTACGAGTAGTAGTAGTAGTGGTGGTGGTGGTGGTGGTGGTGGTGGTGGCGGCGACGGTGTAACTTTATAATTCCCAATGCGTGGTTCTTGAGGGGGACCAAGAGTGAAGCTTGGGTGGGTAGTTAAGTTACTCGCTCCGAACTCTGAAGCAAAGGGAGGGAGGGAGAAAAAAAGAGACAGGTTGTTCGATGGTGGTTGAAATAAAACGGTCGCCCGCCCCGCTCTACCTGAGCTGCTCCTAGCTCTTGTCTTGCCCTGCCTTGTCTGCCCTACCCCTCGTTCGCCGACGTAGTGGTTGCGGGGTTTTAAACATGACTTGCGCGATCTCCTGTACTGTACCCTTTTCTCCCGGCGGATTTAGGGTAATTCAGGGTCCTTACTGGAACAGATTGTTTTAACTTGTATCACAATGAGAGGGAAGCGTGATAAGTAACTTACATACTTGTACCCACCCACATACCCGTCGGGACAAGGAAAGTAATTAACCCATCAATGACGACCAACATTTATTAGCTTAACTCAAGTTAGAGATTATCTTGAGCATAACATCATATGCACGATATACGGTTGTTTGCTTTCACCAATTCTGCCAACACTTCCCCATTACAAATATATTCAATCGACCCCTAACTAACATACCCACCTTCGTTCCCCTTCCCCCACCTCCCCTCCTGTATCCTCACAAAACTACCTCCATTGATGCACCCCCCGCCCCCGCCCCCCAATACCAATTTCACCGTTAAGCAATAGAGAAGAGAAATGAAAAGAAGAAAAAGAGAATGCCGAAAAGAGCAGTGGGTATTGATGAAGGAAAAAGATTCGGCAATCAAGTCACAAGAATAAAGCTACTACGATTGGGGCTTTACAAAGGGAAAGTGAAGATCAAGAAACGGAAATGAAAACGGAAATGAAAACGAGAAAAGAGACAATATCGCAAGATCGCTGACCCCAGATACATGAAAGATTTTTTGCACGAAATAGACTCCTGAAGCATATTCGAGAACGAATCAGCAGAAGAGAAAACGAAAAGAGAAGAAAAAGAGAAGGGGAAGAGATGGAAGATGAGGACAGGAGAGAAAAGAGGAGGATATAAAAAAATAGCATATACAGTATGCAGACCTAATAATAAGTTAATAGGAGAGGGAAGCGTGCGAGAAGCATTACAAAAGAAACACGGCAGCAGCCAACTGAATGAGATTCAACACCTATGGGCGTGGGATATCAAGGGGAAAAAAGACAAAAACGAGAACATAAAAAAAGACACACTGAACAGCCAGTGTGGCAAGGAGCAAAAAGGCGCAAGGCCACGTCCCAAGGAATCTCCCCTCAATTCCTAATCCCAATAGCATTTTCCATCGAGCAGCATTTTTGTATATGGAAAGACACTTGCAGTTGCTCCATCCAAAGACTGCGCCCTTTCAATCACAATACTCCCCCAAAATTATGCAAGCAGTTGTACAGCCATAATTATCGGCATTTTACCATGTGTTGATGCAAGAAGCCCCATTTTCAAATAAAAAAGATCAAGAAAAGCAAATCCACCATAGCATCGCAAGTCACTCTAGGAGTCACTTATACGGATCGTCACAGAGATACGTCCAAGACCAGCGTTACATCCCGAACATCTTGTGTCGACAGATCCTCCAGAACGGGAATGAGATCCAATAGCTCGTTGTCGTGAGCATCAGAGAACCAACTGCTAATAGGCACGGCATGTTGTGGATGGAAGATGTAACTTGTAGGGGAGTTGTCGATGATGATGGTATCCTTAAGGTCTCGGCCGAGTTGGGAGAGATCCTGCAAAAGTGGTCAGAACTAACATCTAGGATGGTGCCCACTGTCTAAAATACCTTGACATAATTCCCCTGGTTGTTGAAGCAACTATCCCTGAAGAGACGATGATGGACGACGTGATGAATGTCTAGCTGGTCAAGTAACGGATCGCCATACTGTGACACAAACATCAGAAACACGCATCTATAAATCTACCGCAACAGGAGTATACCTTCGAGACGGAAGCTGTGAACACAACGACCTCGTACAGTTCACCAACTCTCTTCATGAACTCATCCACACCGGGTCTCTTGATAACATAGACATTATGATAACTTCCCTCGATGTCTACAGGAATGGTGAAATCGGCCTGATGCAAGACCTGGAATGAGAGATTAGTAGAGGAAGCCTTAAGGGTAAATACCAGATCGCATACCTTGAAGCTACTATGTACCAGGGTCTCGTCCAAGTCCAATACCAGGCACTTCTTTCCCTCGAATCTGGGGGCCGGCGGAGGTAGCAGCCACTGTTGCCTCTCATCCAGCGATGGAGTACGCACTAGTGCGGTATCGCGGGGATCATGGGGATAACCTTCATCCGAGCTCCGCTGCTGTGTGTCATCACTTTCACTATCCTGACCAGATTCCTCGAAATGTGGGAACTGAATCTTCAGTTCGCCCTTCCTCTTTCCGGTAGTGCCATAATCCTCACCGTCCGCATCGCGCATCTCAATATCCTCTGAAGTCGAGGTGCCGGCCTCCTTCGACGACTGGGGGTCGGAAATGATAAAATCGAGGTCGTCTTTTTCGGTTTGGAGCCCCGTTGGCGTGGGAGCCTGTATGGTGACGGTTGGTGTGTTACCGGACAACAAGGAACTGTTTTGCCCCGCCCCCGCGCCCCCTTCTTTGGAAGTGGAGTCATCTTTTACAACAATCTTCTCTCCAACAAGAACCTCGCCATCCGCCCGCTTTATCTTGTCCTCATCCCCAGATCCAGAGCTCAATGTAACAGACGCCGGTCCCCCCTTTGTTGTCTCGGAACGGATTGTATTGCCATCATCCCCAAGCTTCCCGGCCTCTGCTACGTCCTTAGATTCGGCGACACCGCTATCTTTTGAAGTTTTAAGTGCATGCTCTTTCCCGACAGGAGTTGCTTTGCGGGAAGATGCAGATCCAGGCCTCTTATTAGTTCTGCGTGGACTGGGTTGCATTTCCTCCGCGGATGCGCCACTTCGGCAGCATAAAAATCCAAAAAACCTCACAATACCGCCAGCCTGCTTGCGAGGACGTCCTTCTTCACCAGAGTTCAAACTACTCCCATTACTCCCCGCCTCTCTTCTCCGCCTTCCTTTACGACTGGTGGTAGACGTGTTGTCGCCGGTGGCAGTGACAGCCGTACTACTTGTCGAGGTTGGTGACTGCTCGGCCTGCTTTGTTGATGACGTCCGGGTGGGGACAGAGAGCAACGAGTTCCGCTTTTGGGAAGCGGGGGCGTTAGCAGGTGGCGGCACCTCGGTTCCAGCAGTCGAGGTTGATGGAGGAGGCACAGGCGTTGATGGAGATGATGAAGGTTCGTCTGCGGAGGAGCGCGGGGCAATTGGTTGTATCGACGAAGTCCTGGTGGGAGGTGTCGGGGGTGTCAAAGGGGATGACTCCGAATTACGGCCTTTATCTGGATTTATACATAGCATTAGTACGTTGCATCCATTGAACCCCCAAGACTCCTGGCAAAGCGGACAGTGGGGGAAGGGATAGCAAGGAAAGAGCAATAGATGTGATGAGCTTGAAGTGGGAGGAAGAGGGTGATGCCTATGACGGAACTACGCACCAGTAACATTTGACGAACTTCGTTCGTGTGAGATTGCCTGAGTCGCGGAGCCAGATGTCACTTCCCCATTCAAGGGTGCTTGTTTCTCAGAAGACATCTTAGAAAAGAGAAGATAGAAAAGTCCAAAATATCGAGTAACTTGGTCTAGAAGAAATTTAGAAACAGTTTCGGCTCGCGAAAAAACAGTCCTTTATTCTTCTTCCTTTTCTTTCTCTCGCTCTCGATTCTAGGCCTCACTATTATTCCAAACTCCCGCCCAGAAGAGAAGACAGAAATTAAAAGGTGGTATCCCAGTGATGAGCCCACGACTTCGAATCTAATCCCGTAGAAGCGGCCTCGTGTATGAGAACCCTTTTTTTTTTTAGCACCGACTTCCACAACGGAAGGAAAAACCGAACACACGAAAAAAGAAAGGCCGAGATGATCGTGGTCGAAGGTGAATCGATCGGACGGACGGGGATGAAGATGGTCGGCGGGAAGGGCAAAAGGAAGGGAAGAGGGAGGGAGGGTAAGAGGGAAAGAAAGGCGATGGTTACTGAGAGACGACGAGATAGAGTGCAGAGGAAGTTTAATGAGCGTCGATGCGTTGCTGGGGGCGTTTTTTTTTTTGGATTAGGTGACAGCCGCCAACGAATGGAGCACAGCTAAAACAGCAGGGCTGGGGGGGGGGTTGAAGACAGGGGACTGGGCCAGGACACAAGAAGGAGAAAACAACAGGAAAGAGAGGACGAAGGAAACGGATTGGGGGGGGTTGTGGGAAAGGGAAAAGGGACTGGGACGGGGGATGGAGGTTCAGAGGGGGGGGGAGGGGGAAGGACCAAATGTAGCACAAGCGAGAGAAAAATGGCGAGGGCAGAATAAATAAGTGAGGACCTTTGGGAGGCGCGAAAGAGCCGTCCGTAAGATGTACAATATTACAGATAGGTTATGATAATTTTGGCCCGGGTTCTAGATTTTCAGGTACAGTACCGGTAGCGATGAAGGGCTATTGAACGAGAGAGTGCGGAAGCGCGGCGGAAACCAAAGCGGCGGGATTGTCGACGGGGGTCGAGAGTTGGGAGTGGGCTCAAGGAGAGGGAGAGAGGAAAGGAGAATGAAAGAATAGGAATGGCACAGCATGGCACTGATACTGAAGGGGGAGTTCAGTTACCGCTAGCGGTGCGGCGTGCGGCTTGGGCTGCACGCGAGAGAAGCCGTTTAAACCCTTCTAAGCTTCTTTTCTCGTGCTCCCGGCGGTTGCGCCGGCGGATATGGAATAGAACGAGTGAAAGGGCAAATAGATTGGCCAAAAGGGCAAAAGAGAGAGGAAAAAGTAACTACCGGAACCCGAGCGAGCGAAAATGAGCAAAGCTCTCTCCTCCCCTACAAAATTCTCCGAGGCAAAATCTCGCAGGAAGCGAAAGGGAGAAGAAAAAGAAAAAGAAAAAGAAAAAGAGAGGGAGAGGAGAGAGGAGAGCGGTAACTTCAGCCTGGTGTTGGTGGGTTGGATATCGGTGAAGTCTTGGGAAATGAAGTTGAACGCCATGATCCCTCCCACTTTCACACACCCTGACAAAAAAGTTACGCATAATACTCGAGTACTGTACAAGCAGACCAATCCAGTTATCGCATTTCGGTGGGCGTTAACCATTCATCGCTCGTGCCATCGTTAGTAGATTTGAAAGCGGGAGGGAAAACGTTAAGGAGGCTATCGGGGCATTAGTTGGCATCGTTGACAACCATTGAGTTGAATTGATCGCCTATTCTGCTGTCAAGTGGTGAAGGGGGGTGTTGTTCATTCGTTGAAGAGCACCGGTACCCGTATTGTACGAATACTGCTAGCATGATACAGTACTGCCGGGACAAACAATACAGTGAGGGAAGCTCTCTCTTCCTCTCGAGAGCTTCATTAAATGATCCACCTGGACCAGGATCACCCTCCCCTTTTAGCATACTGAGACCCCAACCTCCACCCAACCCATGCCTTGGGCCCCCCCCTTTCCAGGTGGTCGAGATGGTGCCAAGCCTTTATCTCCCCGGAGGTAGAAGTGTCACACTCACACATTTCCGTTGCCCAACTGTCCCAAGCTCGAATAGGAACACGCTCCCGAATTCAACAGCGAGCAATCAAAACATTTGCTTAGTTGTGTCAAAAATTAATTTGCCCAAAAGAGCCCCAAAACCTGGACAAGGCAAATTCTTCTGGCAAATAAAATGAACTGCTATTGCCAACCGCTACCATAACCCATCCTTATCCCGCGCCACTACCGGCGCTACTCCTACCATATCTCATGACACCATATGATACAACAAACAAAAGACCGACACATCTTCGCGAGTAACGACACAAACAAGAAAAAACGCCGACCGAGAGCCATGATGATAACCTCCAAACCGACCGAGCCATCAGATCAGATCAAGGAACGAGAATGATAGATTTCTCCATGCGATGGAAAAAAACAAAATGAGAAAAGGAAAAGTTGAACTCCTGTATCCCCGCCAAACACTTGATAACCCCCGGCAAACTCCCTGTCTTTTGAAAAAGAGAAAAATGGGATCGATGGAAAGAAAAGAAGAGGGGAAAAAAAGAAGAAAAGGGACATCAAGATGCCGTCAAGGTATTTATAAGAAATGTGTGTGTGTGTGTGTGTGTGAGGCACCCCCCTTCGACCCCGTCCTTGAAAATAGAGTAAAATATATGACGGGAGGAATCGTGTTCGGACTTATTGGATCATGAACTAATCCTCGATGGCGTAGTCATTCTCTCCGATGGCACCACCCCAGTGGACTGGCCCTAGCTTGAGGAATAGTCGCTTCTCGGCGACACTGCCAACGGAGGAAGTGGAGCTGCTTCTGTGGATTGCCTTCTGGGTGGGGGAAAGCGGCGGAGCGTCGATAACGGCATCAATGGCGGCAGTTGTGGGAGAGAGCTTGGGGGATGCTGGTGCCTTTGGGAAGGAGGTAGAGTGGACCGGGCCAAGCGCAAGGAAGCCCGTGGGCTTGCGGATGGCATGGGTCTTGGGAGCGGTGAAAGCGGAGGGGGCAGACATTCCGATTGATTGTATGGGGATGGTAAGAGGTTTTGGTTCGTATAATTCTGGGTAATTACTTCGGAAGATTGGAGTAGGACGGCTCTCTGATATAGCGCGTTGGGCTCGAGGAAGAATATCTGGAGGATTGCTTCTCTGGTTTTCCGGCTCTGTGGGGGAAAAAGGGACGAGAAGGGGAATCAGGGCAGCCCTTATATATGTCAACCCCGTCACCAGTCAGTAGCGCACCGAGCTAGGGGATAATCTGCCGACACCATGGGGAGGTGGGGCAGAGCATGTCAACGTACCGTAGCATGATGGTGGTGGTGGAGTTGGAGTTGGAGGGGCGAAAAAGCGGCGATAAGACTACAAACTCAGTTTGGTAAACAATCATTTCCTCCAGGTGTCTGCTTTCCCCCCCCCCTCCCCCCCAGGGCCAAGCTTTCCTGCCACCTTGCAGGAGCCCTTGAGATCGGATTTGCAAGCCAGATATTTTTCCTTTACCCCCCCTACCATATTGATTTCTATGAAACATAGATATCCGTGGAGGTGAGGTTTGCCATCCAAAAACCTGCAGCCCGCAGCAACCAAGAAGAAAAGAAAGATTTCAAAAGCACCGGTATAAAGTGCTCGAGTACGGTAGTGGGCTACACTGAGTTGATGCACACTGCACCCTGCGGAAGGTAGCGAATCCGAGTGCACCGCTCACCCACGGAGGATGGGTCAAAGCAGGGACTTGTTATTTAGGATTCTGTCACTCCTCCTTCCCTCTTACCCACTTTGCCTGCTCGCTTACTCCAGTACTTGGGAGGGCTGCCTGTAATTCCCCTCCTCGAGTACCGGTACTTGCGCTGCGTATCCCGCACTGCTCGACGCTATCTTCAGCGGGCGATGAGATGCAGTCTCACCCAAATAGCCCCAAGTACAAGCGGCGCGTCCGGTCCCGGGGTTAGATTTGTACCGCTTACCGACCGAGAGTGCATCCAGATCCCCCATGTAATCACCTTATTATTCACGACAAAATAAGACTCGTAAGGTTTCAATATAGCGAGATATGCATAATGAGACATGGTACGGTAGGTTCGCAGGGTACTCGAGCAGAGCGTTTTCCCTGTGGGGGGGTACCGTATCACAGGTTGAAGGGGAGCGGGGGGTCTGGTTTGCAGCACGTGGGCGGGAGCAAACAAGACTTGCGTGGTGTAGTTATTACGGTAAAGTAGCATGGTAAGTCAGGGAGGGAGGCACCCTACCGCTACACCAAGATCCGGGACAGAGGGGGCGGACTGGAAAGTTTGATGGGACAATAACTCTATCTACCGAGAGTGGCCACTGACGAGTCGTTCTCCATGCATGTGAGATACGGTACTGTACTCGAGTACTGAGGTCTGATAACCAGCCAGTCCGGGACGACGGTAAGATCCTTGGAAGAATAGTTCCCCTCAATATGACGCGGGGAATCGCCTCCACTTACTGTCTCTCCTCACTCGAACCGTCGTATTTGCGCGCTCCAAACAGGAGTTTGAGAGGGGGTGGGCATTTTTACGGATGTATTTTTTTTGATACCGGTGGGTAGCCACTACCAGATGGCACCATAGCTGTCATGGCTGCTGCAGGAGCCCGGTACAACGAAGCACCGATACTGACTCTATCAAGAACGGTTGCTGGAATCGGCTCCTACCATACGAAACCCAGCCCACCACCGGGTCGGGTGTAATTCAAGTGGTCAATTGGCATTAGCATCTGCGGCAGCAATGCATACCCCAGATGATGCTGGACTACGGTATCACAAACAACTAAGAATGATCCTCCGGATAATAATGCCTCCTTTGCATTATCCGGTTAAAATGAAGCGTGGCCAGCCTCCACTCCCCAACCCAAGAGCTTCCTCCAATTCTAATGGGCCAAAGAGAGTACCCTTCAATCCGAGTGGTCGAGTGTGGAGGGAGGAGCGAAGTGAGCATAGACTATGCCTTTGACGGGGCGTGATGGATATTACGGAGCCACCGCGGGGGGGATAGATTACCGGTAGAATGAATCCAATACCGGTACCGGTAAACGGCATAGAGCCAAACCTCGGGACCAAGCTGTTTACTATTTAAGAATATAAGGAATAAGGAACGAGGATGCACGGATGTGGCCGCCAAAGAGGGAGGATGCGCGGACGCCGGACGGTAAGTATATGTGAGATTAGGTTGCTCATACCGTATGTACCACTATCTCGTCGACACGCATTGAAACCCAGTGAATCAGTCCTTAGTAAAACATGCAGCCTCCATGCTTTTTCCTACCATTTTCCGCGATTCGAGAGAGTGCTTGCACTTTCCGCCATCCATGACGTCTTCCGCCGCTTTAACGCATCCAACTTGGTTGAAGAAAGGTACCGGTATCCCATAGGAAAATATCGGACCGAGGAAGACGTATGGGGAAGCATCTGAAAGGAGAGGAAGGTGTTTCTCTTCCCCCGCTTGATACCCGAGGGTATGATATTAGAACTAGCTAAAAACTCCAAGGTAATTCTCGAAATTACCATACGATGTTCCGGAATCCTCTCCCCACGGCGTAGCTCTCCCATCCGGCCATCGCTCCAGAGTCCATACCACCTCCCCCCCCCCCCCCCCACCATCCATGGATGGGCGAGAGGGGGGAAAAGGAAAGAAAAGGGTGAAAGAAAAAAAAAAAAAAAAAAAGAGGTGCTCCAGACTCACCGTGGCTGCATCTTTGGAGAGATCGAAGCTTATACGAACCCCGGACCGGAGCAAGCCGAGCAGGTGGATGAAATTTTCTTACCGTACAGTACATGTTCAAAGGGCGGCATGCAGAATAATTGCAGAAGGCTTGTGGGTTTACGTATCTGTTTTGGGTACCGTATTTTCAAAGGTTTGTTTGACAAGGCACCACACGCATCATGTTGCTCGAGCAGTATGAGGGCGAGTTGGTATGCGGTACGTGTTCGCGGCGTTATGTGGTTGAAATTACTAACTTGTAGGATGCTGGAATTTCATTTCGTAGCAGTGGTGGTGGTGGGCATCCTCTGGATGAATCAACAGGAAAATTAATAAAAATTGGTGGTGGTGGTGTTGTGTTTACTCAATTGAAGGATGTAAGTCTGACCGTTTGTAGAGGCGCTTTTTTTTCTTCTTCTTTTCCCACGTCTTTCCTTTTCTTTGTTCCCCCCCCCTTTAGTCACGAAACCTGATCTCGCGCGGGTTTCTTCTTGGTGTTATTAACGTATCGTTTCTGATTTATTTGGCGGAGGGGGAGAAAGAAAGGTGGCGAACAGAGAGCCGCTCGAAGGCAACGGTTTTGGTGCGATACCGGTGCTGGTACAATGCTGGCATGCGATGGTGCAATATACCGTAGTGCCGCCTCATCCTCAGGGTTCTCATACCTTTCAAAGTATCGCATGGAAATGCTCTGCTATCCCTCTGCCCTCTATTTCCTATTATTTAGTGAGGAAATTGTGATAATAATTTACAACATCGCCAGGGGATGTCCGAAAACGGTCATCTAAAAAGCCCCTCCTCCCATTCTCCCATTGTTAACGCAGTAGGTGTAGTTCTTGGGGATGATAAAAGGAAGGCTAGGAGAACTTTGCAGACGCGGCTAACTTGTACGAGTACGGTACGGTGCTCCGCTTGGCCAAAGCTGACTCCGGAGGTTCTTCGGTTGCAGAGCGGTCCTCGCCGGGTACCTGAACCCAGTCCAGCCAGCCCTATCCCACGCCTGGGGCTCCCAGAGACTCTCTCTCTCTTCCTCTTTTTTTTCTCCTTCCTGCCTTATTCTCTCCCCTCCAATGAAATCTCTGCGTGTGTGGGTGTGTGGAACAAAAGTTTATTTTCTTGGGGTGCTGCCGACAGGTCACATGTCCACTTTGAATTTTCCCTAACAACAACAACAACAAGAGAAAAAAGGCCCTTATCAAACCTGCCGCGCTCGTCATTGGCGCTACGAGAACACTATCAGCCAAACGGCAGGCACAAGCCTCCCCCTCAGTTGCACCGTGTGCCTTCCCAACACCCTTAACCTAACCACACAACTGGTACATAAATAGACCGGCTTGTTCTGGAGAATATTATACAGCTGAAAGAAGTAAAACGAAAAAAGGGGGGGGGAGGGGGTGAGGTGGTCGTTAGGCATTCTGCGGCGTCAATGAGCTCGAAGGAAAAGAAAACAGAATACCGGTACCAGCGACCAGATATACCGTGTCATACATGCCATATGTGCAAACAGGTCCGGATCTTGTCTCCGGCCGCGCGGGTGGCAGCGGTAGTGGTGGTGGGGATGCAATGCGGTGGCAGTCGTGCGGTCGGTAACTGGCTCACTCCTGGTGATATTCTGAGCGTTTGAACCTGCCATACTTTTTTTCCCCCCCACCAAACCGTCGCAGCAGTTATCGCACATAAGAAGTGCCCACGGTACTCGTACGGATGCGTTATGTTTTCCCTCAACTACCGATGCCCAAACCCGCAATCATTTTTTTATTTTTTCGCAGGGGAACACATTTTAGTGACAGCGTAGTTCGCCGAAATAGGAAAACCAGTCTTCTTCCACCGGACCCTTATTTTATTTTACAGTTAGATAATAAATTTCTACCGTATCTATCGTTGGTGGGGCAGGCGGGAAAGCAGGAGGGACAGCGGGTCGCTTGCTGGCACGGAATACGCTCTTTGGAGGCCTATGATGGTATGGTTACTTGTACAACAGTTCGCACTCACTATCACCCGTCCTACCGTATCTTCCTCCTCGGTCCAAAACAAAACCGGGCCTTCCCCCTTCCAAGGAAAAGGGCACCAATAATAATAAGAATGATAAGCTCCCAAAAAGTTTCCCAGCTCATCGTTTATCCCCCGATCAAATCACCATCCTCCCAGGGCCCACGCCGACCGGGTGGATCCTGCCATGGGATGCGTCAACGTTCAGCCTCTCCATGACTCCACCCCTCCCCACTATCATCTCAACCGGGGACCACAACCCTTCTCGAAGACCCTGACAGCGCAAGGGGGTGGAGCTGGATAAGGGGGAGAGATGGATGGGCCACTGATAAGAGGGCCATCGACATCACTGATCTTGCTGGGAATCAGCTCTTTGACTGTTGAATCATACCGATCTCCTCGATCGGGTCGCTCGGCCGGGGAAGTGGGTAGTGCCCGTGATTAACAGTTGTCCTAGTCGAGCACTGATACAACCCGATCCGCTGGAGCATCTTGCCGATCCTTGCCCATGCCTCTGGGACCCTTTATCTCTGGGGGAAGGGTTTACGAAAGCACCGGCACGTTGGCGTGGTGGTATATTTGGTAGGAAGATGCGTGGGGTGTGGGTCACCGTGGGTGTTTGTGGGAAGTAAACATGTTGTATCACTCGTACTTGAAGTTTGGGTTGGGTAAACCCGGCGCGGTCTTACTCGAGGGTGCACGGCATATATCGTCATGAAGGAGTGAACTGCGGTGAAGATTGGTTGGGGGGGGGAGGGGGTAAATGCCGAGATGAACCGGGGCGGCAGATGTTTCACTGGGGAAGTACCTTAACCACGGTTGTCTGGGAGCGCAGTAGCGTGGATGCCAGGGTAGACTGCAATTCCATCCGATATAGTAAATTCCAAATATCATAATGTTTACAGCCATTAATGCGGTGGGCGGATGGGTGGGGTATTGTTTCGTGCTGCGCTGTACTGTACGAGTACTGTAGCATGAAGCTGTCGAGAATGGGGTTCGAGACTCGAAACGGGTGAACACCGTATCGCACACCGTTCAAAGGGTCGATTTGGGCGATTGAATGAATATCAGACGGTGCATTGCATACTGGGCGGGGGCGGATATCTTGACGGTAACTCATCACATGGCCACTCCTCCAACGTACCTTACCTGGATGCACAATTACGGGCTTTCACTATCTATCTAGCCCCCCCCCCCTCCCCCTTTAGTATATTGATTCCAGAGATCGTTGTCGCGGCATGGATTTTTATTTTTCTATTTATCGTTTTTTATAATATTATATTTTATTTTATTCTTTTGCTTGAAAAACCACACCGACAATTCCTAGGGTATCATACCATAGTAGATAAATATTGTATGATACTCGTAGCTATCATACTAAAATTCCCAAAGAATCGAACCAAGCATCGAAGCCACCCACACCCGATTCCCAACTTTGACGATGTAGATTAATTAATCAATTAATTAATCAAAGCGATGCGATGAGCGGGGTACGGTAGACAGACAGATAGATTGATAGATTGATAGGTAGTCCGCTGCAAGACGCTGTTGATACCGTACTGTACCGTACTATACAGCACTAAGTACTCGAGTATTGCATACGGGGCTGGAATTTTAGTCTACTCCCCCCCAACATC